CACCTTCCATATCTCCCGGCTCAAGCCCTACGTGGAATCCTCCCTCCTTCCGCCTCCGGCTCCGGCGCCTCCGCCTGCCCGCTTCCTCGACGGTGAGCCCATCTACACCGTCCGGCGCATCCTGGACGCTCGCCGCAGGGGACGGGGCTGGCAGTATCTGGTCGATTGGGCGGACTACGGCCCTGAGGAACGCTCCTGGGAGCCGGCCCGCTCCATCTTGGACCCTGCCCTTGTCTCTGACTTCTGGGACCGCCGAGGTCGCCCTGGGACTTCTGGAGCCGTCCCTGGACCGGGGGGTCCTGTCAGAACCCAAGCCCCCAAACCGGCCTCTCCCAGCTAACCGGCCTCCATCTTGGACCACATTTCCCAGCAAGCTCCTCGCGGGAACTCCCGGCATTCTCCCAGTCACACCCAAGCCTATATATGGAAGACGCCGCACCGGCTCTTCACTCAGTCATCGTTTCATTGAAACCCCTGATCAGAGTTCTCTACCGAATAATCCAGACGTCAAACATCCTTACCGAGTTCAACTCCCGTACCCAGTCGACCATCGTGACACAAGGTTAGCTAACGTTAGTGTTAGCATTTCCAGCGGCAAAACCCTCGACTGCTGCAGCGGTTGAGGGTTGACTCTCTTCATCCAGATCCATATGTTTTTGTGGGTCTGAGATCACTTCCAAACATTCATTCATTTCTGACTGAACACATGGAAATCTGGGCAACAAAAACCGATCGATTTTACCACTAGCTCTACCTTTCACTCGTTCGCAGGTGGAAAATGAGGTCAAAGGTTAACATCAATTTCCTGTTTTGGTTTAAGTCTTTACTGTCTATATGGTAATTTACGGATAATTTTTGTTTTTTATGTTAAATATTGTCACATCCACACGTTCAATTAAAATTACATTGTAAAAAAAATAAAAAATCTAATATTTACTTGGGGGTGCTATGGGGGTGCAAAGACTAATCCAGGGGTAGCTATGGCGCCCCCTAGCGCCCCCCTGGCGCCGCCACTGAATCAGATCATCCAAACACTAAAACCTTGACCTGGACTTGAATTTCAGTTTAGTGGTTAGCATCAGATCCTAATGCATCAGTCAGAAGTAAAATGACCTGTTTTTGAAATGGCACCTTCCTGGAACCCCCCAAGGTGCTTTACAACACAATAAGTCATTCATCCATTCTCATGCACATCCACACCCTTATGGTGATGAGCTACGATGCCACAGCTACCCTGGGGCACACTGACAGCGGCTGCCGAGAACAGGCGCCACCGGTCCCTCTGACCACCACCAGCAGGCAAGGGGGCTTTACCCCTGCTTTCCACGGGAGCCGTCAGCAGCACGTTACTGCAGCAGCACGTCATAGCTGCTGATAGGAACCGCTGTGGTCAACAGAACCTTTTCCACTGGAGCCGTCAGCAGCCGTCAGCAGCGCGAGTCGGCCGCGTCTCAGGAGCAGCATGTCGCGGCCTTTACGCGCCGGTTCTATTTTCTACGCGTGACGCCTCTGAAACGGGTCAAGTTCGACATTATTGGGGAAGGAAAGACAGGAAATCTGACGCGGAAATGGAGAGACGCTACCGAGATTTTCAGAATAAAGAACATACTGCTTTCAGGTCGCTTTACTTTTAAAAAAGGTTACTAACTGTGCGTCCCCGTGAGAAGTTATCACCTAGCTAGCGGTCTCCTTTGTTTTTCAGGTCCGTATTGGCGATTTTAAAATGGACAGAACATAAAACACAAACCATGTTGTAGTTTTCTCCTGCTTGTTATTGTGTTTAGTGACGAAGTCACTCGTGTGACTTCGTTCTCTGTCGGTGACAGCTGCTCCCCTTCTGCTTCGCGTCTCGTGGGAAGGGCCAAGCAGCAGCTTACGCGAGCAAGACGTGCTGCTGCAGTAACATGCTGCTGACGGCTCCCGTGGAAACCCGGGGTAAGTGTCTTGCCCAAGGACACAACGACAGTGGGGCTCGAACCTGCAACCTTCCAATTACGGGGCGAGCACTTATCTCCTGTGCCACCGTCGCCCCTTTAGTAGAAGAAGAAAGGTTTTCTTTTATAAAGATTTTCAAGTACTTTTAGATTATTTATTGAAATATCCATGTAATGTAAAATAAAAATCAATGTAAAGGTCTAAAAAGGAGAATTTGGGAATTTTAAGATGACTGGAAGTAACTTGTTCACCTGGACTAGCCATTAGCTTGTCAACCTAGTTGAAACCAATTTACACAAGGTGCTTGGGTTGCCTCGGGGGGTGGACTACTGGCGGTTGTGAGTGGGGCCCCTTGGAGGCCTTGGCGGCGGCCATGGGTCGCTGCCTGGAAGCTGCATTGCCCCTGGGTGGGTCTGGGTGGGGGCCTGGGGGCTCGGGGTGTGGGGGTGGCCAGCCCGTGTGGGGATCTGGGCAGGGCCTTGGGGGTCGGGTCCTGACATGTATGCTGCCGGGAAGAAGGCAGGAACATGCAGCAGTGCCAGGCCCGGGTTCAGGGGCCTCGGGTAGACCTTGGCTCCTCTGCCGTCCCATCACAGGGGAGGGGGAGGTCCAGGAGGGGGAGGACCCAACCTTACCTGGATGTCTTATATATTCTGGAAGTTGTGCAAATGCAGGGATGGGCATAGATATTCTGCTGGGGTGGGGCTGGGTTGGTGCCCTCGGACTCCGTGAGGCTCTGCAATGCTGCTGCTTTGGGCTCTGGCAAGATGGGCTGTGGTCTCCATGTCCTGGGTGGCATTTTGACAACAGAGGTGCCTATTGGGGCCAGTGGGGGAGCTGGCTCCCCTGAGGGCTAAGCCCAACCAGCCATTCCTCCCCATCCCCGCATATTTTTCTCCTCCTGCTCCTTCACATCATCACATAAACATGCACATAGGACCTTGGGGGGTGGACAAGTCAGGGAGTGCGGGTATGGACCCCATTTCCGCATTTGTGTGGCAACCTGCCCCCCAATTTTATTTGCACCTTAAACACTTCCACCAATGACATTCCATGCAAACACACACTTAAGGCCTTGGGAGTGAGCACATTCAACGGCATTTGGCAGGGGGATTTCTCAGTCTCCTCCCGATTGCCGGTGCCCACTTCCAATTTTAAACTGCACTTAGACACTGAGGGCTGTGGGTGCAAGTGGGGTGGTGCGGTGGCATCAGCTGGCATAGGCCAGACAATGTCCGCACTACCCGCTCACCACAGCCATGGAATACACCTCATCAAGACACAACAACTCTATATTAGAGCAGGCGGAGGGAGACTAGGGGTCTTAGCACACCTTGGTTGTTGCTTGGCTTCCTGGAGCTGGAGGCTAGGAGGGAGATCTGGCCGTGTGGTTCGGGTCTGGGGTGGTGGGTTGCTGTGCTCAACGTTGGGCGGGGGAACCTGCTCATCAGCACCCCAGCAGAAAGGATGAAACTCTGGTAACCGGTAATGGTTGTACCCCATGTGCAGCAGTACCGGGACCAGAGTGAATAGGGTGTGTATGGGGAGCATGAGTGGGAGTCTGGCGTGCATTTTTGTAAGTCTTTGGTTGTATGTGAATGTGTGAGCATGAGGGAGGGAGTGTGTGACCTGTATATGTCAGGTGGGGTCTTTGACTCCTTTCTTCTCCTGAGACTTCTTTTGATGATATTGATCTTCGTCTCCCCTCCCCCTGCCACACCTGGTGTGGAGTGCGGTGCGGTGCCTTGGTCTCCCTGAGTGTTCGTGGCTCCCGGGTCAGGGGGTTTAAGATTTTTGGCATCTGCCTGATCAATCCCAGTGGCTGTCTGGTGGGGTCTGGGTCCCTGAGCTCTGCTGGGTCCCCGGTGGGGGTGGTCGCCCCTGAGTTCCGGGTCGCTGGGTCCCGGGCTCGGCTGGCTAGGGGGTGGGAGGCTGCGGGCGGGCCTGTGGGCTTGCCGCTGATATCTCCCGGGACTCTGCCAGCTGCTGGTTGTGGCCCCCGGGCCGATCCTCTGTGCCTCTTGAGGGGGGCGGGGGCCTTTCTGGTTGCAGTCTCCTTGGGGTTCCTGTGTTCTGGGGCAGCGCCTGGAACCCTGGGACTTGGAGCTCCCTCCGTCTCCTACACATCTTGGGGGGGGGGGGGGGGGGGGGGGCAGATCTGTGGCCCCTCACACTCTCTATTGGACACTCCTATAGGGAAACCTTAAATAAACAAGCGCGTGTACACACACAGGTGCTCACATGGTGGTCTCAAAAGTATGGGCTTGGACACGTTCAACACATGTCTTAAGGCTGTCGTTGCCACTAAATGCACTATGATTTATTATCGTGCGATTGTTCAGTTAAACAATGTTGATTCTGTATTTCATCATCAGGCTGACACAGTGATAGCTTGCTCCGGATGTATTGTTATCTGTCCCATTTTTTTTCTATTCTTTGTCTTTCTGCAGGTCTAGAAGCAAACTCTTGTTCATTATTGTTTATTTTTGTGGACCCCCACCCCCCACCCCCCACCCCCCTCTCCCCACCTTTTGTCTTTTCCTTTCTCTTTCACCTCTTACTCTGTGTCTGGTCGGAATAAAAAAAAAGAAAAAAAATGAAACCAATTTACTTTTTCCAAACCGAAGCATTTCAGTTTGGGCGAGGCAGTGTTTATAATAACAGATCAATGGAATATGGAGACGAAAATAATAATTAAGGATCCAATCAACCCTCAGGAGTGGACCATGTCCATTTTCTCTTAGTTTCATAGGATTACTGCTTTGATAATCCAAGATTGACCAACAGTTTTAACAAAAACCACCCACCTCTTTTTAAACATCTATATCCTCCAACATTCAGATGAATGTCGAAAACTTAAAGAGTTCAAATGTAGTGCAGCGTTTTGACCCAAAGAGGGCCTGATGGTTTTAGGCAAAAAACTTATATTTTAAATAAGATGCTCTAAAATGTCTAAATATTGACTAGATATATCTTCAGCAGTATTAAATACCAATGTATACAGTTTGTTTGCAAAAAAGAGGATGACCTGCTCTCTTTAAGCCGCGTTTTGATTTGTGCTGCAGGAGTTTGTGACTATCGTGGTGTTTGGAGTGGAGTACATAGTGAGGATATGGGCTGCCGGCTGCTGCTGTCGTTACAGAGGATGGCGAGGGAGGCTGAAATTTGCCAGAAAGCCTTTCTGTGTCATAGGTGAGAAAACAAGTTTGGCACACACAAAACCACTAGAGTTTTCCCCTTCTCTCCATTTTCAAAATGCTTTGCAGCGTACAGCAACCATTTTTAAAACTGACATTCCAATATTTTGTGCCTCTTGCCTCTCCAGACATCATGGTGCTGATTGCTTCGGTATCTGTGCTGGCAGCGGGTTCACAGGGGAATGTTTTTGCCACTTCTGCCATCAGAAGTCTTAGATTCCTGCAGATCCTGCGCATGCTGCGCATGGACCGCCGCGGAGGCACCTGGAAACTGCTGGGATCTGTAGTTTATGCCCACAGCAAGGTGACATTTAATTTGTTTTCATTGCATACTTCTTCAGGTATTTAAGGAGACATGAAATCCAAATTTGACCTTTTGCAATCTCTTGTGCTGTCATGTGGGTCTCTACTTCCTCTATGGAGGTGCTGCATGCCGACAGGCAAGGCAGGCAATTACTCGGGGGCCCCCCGGGCCACAAGGGGGCCCAAGAAGATTGATAATTTTTGAAGTCAGTCTGTCATTTGACAGCGCTCTTGACTATCTCACACTCCCTGACATGGCCCTGACTGCTAAGCCAGAGAAGTTTTAGTTTAGGTCAGATTAGCTAATGCTAAACACAGGGCAGTTTGTCATCTTGAAACAAATCTAAATCGTTTATTTAACTGACATAGTTAAAAAAATTACATTGTCTTAAATTTAGCACAATACTTTCAAATATTATGAAATTCCTTCTGAAAGTGTTGAGCACTAAATCTGAAGTGCTAGCTAAATCCCCCTGCTGCAAATTTTTATCACAAATAACATATAATTAAAAAAAACATATTTATTTATATTTATTAATTATTGATAGCATAAATTACCATAACATTTTACATTTTAGTGGTTTTAGAGCTAGCCCTGGTGTGATTAGCCCTACCTGAGGTGGTTCAAGGGTTAATAAAGCATTTTTCACAAAAACACACTTGAAAACATCAGAACCAGGACTTTCAGATCAACATTAGTGCATGCAGCTAAGTGATCCACATGCTGACTAAAATGTGGCTGTTGACCATAAGTAGCATGAATCTCAGCTAATAGTGCCTCTGTGTGGGGTTTGCGTTAAAACTACTGCATGTATTAGTTTTATTGTAACACAATATTCTTCTATGGAGATTAAGCATATTCCCTTCGGTTTTAGTTTAATGAGCTCTGAAGCTCCATCATTTGCTTGCACTAATAGGCTAAGGACAATATCAATGTGTGTGTGTGTGTGTGTGTGTGTGTGTGTGTGTGTGTGTGTGTGTGTGTGTGTGTGTGTGTGTGTGTGTGTGCGTGTGTGCGTGTGATGTCACAGGGAGGGAGAGGAAATCTGCAGCTTATTTGGGGTCGAGGGAAATAAAGACCTTTATTAAAAACCGCACAGGACATGAAAGTCACGTATTGGTATCCAATATTATTATGGGATGACTGTTTTACAAGTCAACAGTGATTTTGTTGCCTTTCAACATGCTGGATGGTAGTTTATTACATTAGATGCTCACTCTGCTGTTCCTCCCCTGCAGGAGCTCATCACAGCCTGGTATATAGGCTTCCTGTGCCTCATCCTGGCTTCCTTCTTGGTCTATTCGGTGGAAAAGGAGTCAAATGACGAGTTTGAGACATATGCTGATGCTCTTTGGTGGGGACTGGTAAGACCTGAAAACATCTTTAATAGGATAAATCCCTGAGAAGTAATTCTGCATGTTTTATTTCCTGCAGCAGTATTGCAGACATATATTTTACACCACAGGACCTAAATGCTTTGTTGTCACCAGATCACTCTCACCACCATCGGTTATGGAGATAAAGTTCCCAAAACCTGGAATGGACGCATGCTGGGAGCTGCTTTCAGTATGATTGGAGTGGCTTTCTTTGCTCTTCCCGCTGTAAGTTTGTGGGTTTTGGCCGTAAATGCCTAATAAAGATAATTAATAACTCATCTTCATCAAACCCTTGTTAGTAACTGGATTCAGTACCAGGTCCAGCTCTCTGGATTTCCTTTACGTTTCAACAGGGCCGGCCCAAGCCTTTGTGGGGCCCTAAGCAGGTTTTTCTTTGGGGGCCCCCATACCAAGAAGTCAAAACCAGATGATTCATCATTCCCAGGCTACACTATGTGTGTAACATACCCACTATCATTAGCGTCTTTTGTAGTTAGCTTACATCATACAGGTGTTATTCTTGTTATTAATATTAATTTAACAGTAACAGCAAACCAAAAAGATGCTCTAATTAATCAGCTATTTCAAAATGCAGAGTGTTATTTAAATGTGGTATATTAATTTTACCATTCGAAAGTAACATTAGCAGGCATTATTTACAAGAAACAAGCTAAGTTTATTATATTTTGTTCTTAAAATTTGAAACAGGTGTATAAACATGCAAGCACTAAAAATTAAATCACATAACACTATAAAAATTACTTTTTCTTGTGTTTTATCATTTAAAGTTATTACAAACATTTTTCTGACACTATATTTGTGCTCTTGAGGGCCCCCTCCGGTGGTGCAGGGGCCCCAAGCAGTCACTTAACTTGCACATGTCTAGGACCGGCCCTGCATTCCAAACACAAGTTGGTAATTCATGCAAAGTTTGTTGCTTTGAAATGAATTATTTTTAACAGAATCCTTCAGATTTGATTGCTTTGTGTTAGAAGTCACAGGGCTAGCTTATCTGGGAGACGTTTTGTATTATTCTCTCTATAGTTTGTCTCCAATCACCAACCTGTCGCTCCCACTAATGACCAGACACTTTAGTAAAACCAGTAACCCATCAAAATAAGCCAAAATTAGGTATAAAAGCTGCTTTTTCCCTTTAACCCTCTGGAGGCAGGCGTTGCAGATTTGCAAAGTTAAAACCTACCTGGTTACTCCACATACGTGTTTCATGAGCATTTTTTAACTCAAAAGTACCCCTGAAGGACTTAGTTGTTCGTCCTCTTATCAAAACTTATCTTGAGCCTGAGAGGGTTAAAAATTATGACCATTCTAGCCACTTTATGACCTTTAAAGGAATAATCAAAATTGTGTTTCAATGTATATTGCTCCCATAATGAAGTTTGCCTGCTCTTATTGGCTGTTTAGGGCATTTTAGGTTCTGGTTTTGCCCTGAAAGTCCAAGAGCAGCACAGGCAGAAGCACTTTGAGAAGAGGCGCAACCCTGCAGCTGGTCTCATTCAGGTATTTGTCCCAGAAAATGGACCAAAATGTGTTTTGTTCCTTGTGATTTAAAGATAAAGAGTATTTTTTCCATTTAGACTACTTGGAGGTATTATTCCACCAATCTTTCCCGGACAGACCTGCTGAGCACTTGGGATTTTTATGAGCAGACGGTGGTGGTTCCAATGTACAGGTATTTCAGGAAATACAACTGTTCTGTCATATCACATTTTGCTAATGTTGTAAAAAATCATTAGCAAAGTGAAACATGGATTTACTATTGCATTCCTAAGTTTTTTCTGTTGAATCAGCTGCTGTGAGTGATCACACACCGGTGTAACATTTCTCTTTTTGCAGAGGATGAGCCTCGGCAGAGACACTTAATTGTTTTGACTGAGTTTAAAAGTCCTCTCCCGTCTATCCAGTTTGTTATTCGGTGTTGGTAGCTCAACCTTTACACACATTTTAAGGCATTTCAGGACCCCTACTTGGAATCTGTGCATGTCTCATTACACTTGGGTTGTAATTGGAGGTGAAAAGCTGAAGGCCAGCAGAACAGATGACTGTCCAACTTGACGGAGTTAGCTCAGAACGAGCCAAAGGCGAGAACCGACCTTTGGAGTAGACGAAAGCATCTTGACAGAATGAAACTGCGCTTTTTGTCTTTTCCCAGAATTATTCCTCCTCTGAATCAGCTGGACCTGCTGAGGAATCTGAAGGGCAAGTCATTCAGGTATGATGACAAGAGCAGGATACGTGGATTATAATGACAGCGGTGTTAAGTAATCCTGAAAGACAAAGAAAAGACAGATTTCAATTCCAATTATGAAACAGTTATGATATTTTATGAACTTTTAAAAGGGACATAATATGGAAAACTCATGTTTTTGCAACACATTCTCACACCCAAGGCGTCAAAATATGACGCGTGACCAAGTCTCAATATATGACGATTCGGGGCGCTCCAGCGCGTCAGGAAACAACGATCAGGGACAAACAGCTGACGCAGCGTCCCAGAGCATCGGTATCCAACGCCGGTGGTGAGACGGACATCAGAACTACTTGTGAACAACTTAACCTTCCCCTCACCCCAATCTTAACCTTAAGGTCACAGTTTATTGGCCTTAAGGTTAGGATTGGGGTGAGGGGAAGGTTAAATAGTCAAATAATGTCCGTGTGACCTCGCGAGTCAAACAGTGACGGCAGCGGAGACACGTGAACCAGCGTGTCCCTGATCGTCATCTCCTGATGCGCTGGGGCATCCCGAATCGTCATATATTGAGGGTTGGTCACACGCATCATATTTTGACGCCTTGGGTGTGAGAGTGTGTTGGTTTTTGCATCCTTTTCTACTGTCTTGTATAAATACTCAAAACATAAAAAAGACCCATCAATCTCTTTTTCTTTTCAGTGTTTGGTTTTAGGATTTATGAGCCTAAAATAAAGCTGTTTAAAAAAGTCCCCGTTTGTGATGTCACAAATTTTGCAAACTTGCATAGAGCCCCCTCTTACCTCTCCAGACTGGAGGAGTAGCAAGTCTACTCTGACCCCCTCCCAGATATCGGAGCTTTTCAGCTTATAGCAGCCTGAGCGCGGAATGGGTGGACGTGGCCAGCTCCAGCTTGTTTCTTAAAGTGACAAAGCCCTACAATGGCTCATTCTGGCAGGAACTGAAAAATCCAAGCCAATTAAAATAGTGAAACTGCTTCATGGGAGAGGGATTAAGTACAAAGAACCCCATAAACATGTTTTAGATTAACCAAAGAACTATTAGACCTTTGTAAATGACAAGTTTCCTTTTGAAAAGAGCAAATTTGTAACGAATCCGCACAAACCTGCCATTCAGCAAGCAGCTGACTGCACTTAACAAGTGGTGATGACAAGGTCATTTGTGGTTTAGGCAACAAAGTGTAATTCATTACCACCTTAGCTGAGATTCTAATATCTGAAAACACACATTTTTATCAGTATCAACAATTAATCTAATAGGACATTTACAAAGTTAAAAAGTAACAAAAAATGCTAATTCATTATATAAGTAAGTGAAATATTATTATTAATATTCATAAGAAACACATTTGTCATTGTGTTAGACTTGAAGAGACAACTGCCAAAGTCAACCAATGATATTTGGGATTGCCGTAATCTTGTGGAAGGACAGCAAAAGTTTTAGGATATCTTTCATTTATCGGATATCTCATTCTGAATCATTTTTTGTAGTAAAAGTGGATCATATATGAATAATAGCAGACTGCTGCTGGTTGTAAAGTCGCTACTGCTGCCCCCTGCTGGTGAAATAAAACCAGACACTACTTCTTCTCAGATGTTGAGCTAAATCCAGGATAAGAGTTGTTCCCGTCCTCAGGGCGGAAGGATCTCGCTCCATCAAAAAGGAGCATATCATTAAGACCACTTTTGTTCTGTGAAACAGTTTGTGTCCTTTCTTCCTACAGGAAGGAGTCTCAGGCAGAACCCTCTCCCAGGTCTGTGAACTCACTGCTCCATGTCTCTTGTCATCTTTCTTTTGGCTTCTCTTCAATTTTGCTCTTAGCTGCTGCTGAGGCACTCTTCTTGGGGGAGTGTGTGTGTGTGTGTGTGTGTGTGTGTGTGTGTGTGTGTGTGTGTGTGTGTGTGTGTGTGTGTGTGTGTGTGTGTGTGTGTGTGTGTGTGTGTGTGTGTGTGTGTGTGTGTGAGCATGTGAATGTGGGTTTGTGCCTCCTTCAAGAATGGTCATGATGCATTTGCTCTCTTGCTCACGCCCAAACTTGCAGCGTTACCAAATATTCCTGGGTGACCAGATCCCAGCTAAACACCGGCAGCGGGAAGAGTGGGTGGGACACAATACCACAGATAAAAAAGTAGCCTAAGCCTTCTGGGAGCACACTAATAGACCACGCATTCAGATGTCGGCTGTAAGTTTTATACATGAATTTAATTTTATTTATGTTTTAATCCGAAATGCACTCGGTTGTAGCTGAACTTTCCGTCATATTCCCAATGAAATCCACAACATTAAGTCAAACCTTACGTGGGTCCTTAAATGGTTGAGGTGGACGACCTGTTACTGCATTAAAGGACTCGTTCACTGAAAAACTGTAACATTTGTTTTTATTTGGAAATACGATTGTTTACCCTGAGCTGCAAATGCGTGGTGAATGTAAAAATTCCCTTCAGCCCCCTTCCTCTGCATTAGCCACAGAAAGGATAGACCCTTTTACTGTTTGTAAACAATATGACGTCAGCGAGAATGCGCGCACAACTGGGCAACAGAGAATGGCGTTGTTTCAGGCTTTATCAAGCTACGCTGCGGGGTTATCACCGGCAAATCTTGAATGTTATATTATTAAACTCACTTTAACGAATGGCAACAGACTCCCGGATCCCTGTGGCATTACGGAACGGGTGGAAGATGTAGGTGCGTGGCCCGATATATATACGTTTTTAGTGGAGAGGCCCAGTAAGTACACACGTGAGAAGCTACGGGCATACAAATCGTTAGATGCATACAACTATGTTGTCTGTGGCCACGTACAGAAAGTAAAATATCGTGACATAGACTCTGAGTTTTGCGTCTTGAAGGCAGAAGTCCTTCCTAGCCAAAGACAAGGACACAAGACTGCTATGTACGAGGCTTGGGTCATAGTAAACAAACCAGAGAACTACGTACCTGCATGGCAGGGTGAGTATAGCATAGGTTTCTTTTTTTAGCGTGCTCAGAGTACAATCGTGTTAATTTTAGAGAAATACAGTTTATACTAATATGCAGTGAGAAAATACAGATGAATTAGAATGAAATGTTAATTTCATTTGCAAACCAGCAAACACAACTTACTTTATTTAATAGAACACACGTTAGCCAGCTTTCTGGTGTAATCTTAGTACATAATTACCTTACCTGATATAAAATGGGCGCTACAAACTCGAGCATTTCGGATCGTGTTTTCAGTCCAGTTTTCATCAACCCTTTTGATGGCCTGCAGCCACAGACGCCTCCGATTTTGTTGAAATGGATGTGCTCCCTTCAGAGTTCTGTAAAGTTTCAGTCCACTGCTTGAAGAGAAGCGATTCTGGCATCCATACACGCAACAACCCGACATTTTTATGTGCTCAGAACTTCAAAACAAAGGGTTTAAAACGCTGTTTTAGTATCGAGTGTGAATGAGGAAGCCTTCACTCTCGTTGCCAGGCTGCGCGCGCAACTTTTCATGACGTAGGTAGTAAAAGGGTCTATACAGACGGGAAAACGATTGAATCAGGCTGTGTTAATTTTGTGGCAACAACATGGCGGAACACGCTAAAACTTGTGTTATTGGTGGAGATGAAACATCAACGTTTCAGAGCAAAGAGTCAGTGGTAGCTTTGTGTTGCTGTTAGCCAGTCAGAGGCAAGATGTCCAAATATCAGGAACTAAGACTCCGGATCCTGTCGTCTGAAGCTACTTTCTCCTCTAGCAGAATTCTCCGTGCTGAAACAGGAGATTTAATTCCCCTGAGTATGACTTACAAGGCCCTCGTTCCTACTAGAGACCTCTGCAAAGGTATTAAAAACATGAGCAAACGACTTCTTTAAAACAGACAGACCTCAGTAATTAAGCAGTGAGAATTTCATTAAAATGTGCCCTCTCATTCATTAGATACGTATCTAAAAATCATGCGAAGACACACTTTTTAAACACTATCACAGGAGTTTAATGCATCCAGCGTAGTAGCAGCTACAGAAGCACCCCCCCCCACCCCCCCACCTACAGAAAACCAAAAATTTGGGACATCCCCTATTGTTCCTTCCCACCCACAGAGGGACTCCTGGTCACCCAGAATATTCACCAATAAATTGTTCTTTGACAGCCGAGCTTTCAGCATCGCCTCAAGAACGTTTGTTTGCAACACTTTCAGAGCCGTGCTTGATTTCTACCACGCTGGTTTCGGGAAAGAAAGCGTGTAATAATGGACAATGCAGTAACACTTTACCACACATGGCGTTTCACTGTTTTGCACGACTGCTGATGTGCTCAGTTGTGCAGGAAAATGCACCAACTATGACTTGAGATACATTTTTAAAACGAATTGGAAAAAACAGATAGACCAGACGCTTTAAACGTGTAATAAAGTGTTACTGGCATCATCTTATGGCACACGGGTGTTTTTGTGATGGTTTCCACTGCTATTTTACCTTTTTGTCTCTCCTCTACTGCCCTCCACTCCAGTAATGAAAATGCACACAAAGACAGACTTTGTGGGTGCTGCCCGAGAACTATTAGGTATAGTTGCTGCACAGATACTAACAACTGCACTGCAAGACTTTGTGCTTCTGTCCAACCTGTTTCTTTTCGTCTCCAACCACAAGTAAAACCACTGAAAAGAGACATTTTCAGCAACATGACTAGTTCCTAATTATGTGTAAAAGTAAAGTCACACGAATGAGATTTTCTGCTTTAACCTTTTTACATTTTCTCTCAGGAAATATGTAGACACACGCGTGTTTAGGCCCCTGCCACTGTTGATTTATGGTTTCCTTTTAGTAACGTCTTTATGCTCTTTATTTGCTTGCTGCCTTTTTATTTTTTGCCAATTCAGCCCTTGTAAAATTGTGTTCAGCAGGCGAGGTGCACATTGCTGAGTACCTAACAATCCCCGAGTATCTGGCGAAGTGTAACGATGTGAGGGTGAATTATTTAGCAAGATTTTTGTTTCTCTTTAAACTTTTGTTTTGCATAGCGTGAGACCACAGCTCGTCCTTTTGAGATGCACAGTGGCAGTTTGCTTCCCATGCATGCCTGCTTGTAGTTTCCTGCCGCTTGCCTGATTCACTGAATGCTCCACCATGCTCGTATGTGGACACGGCTGCCTCTGCTCTAGGATTTTACCCTCTTTGAGTTTTCTCTGAGGTAAGAAAATAGCCACATCAGTGCTGACCTCTACATATTCTCTAAATTACACATTATGTAGCTTTGATTTAGTTAAGAAATGCTGTAAAATATGAAAGTTGCATTCAGTAAATTGAGTTCTGGTTGCTTGTTCTGTGTAGTCGGAAGCCCAGTCTGAAAGACAAGGTGTTTCCCAGTCCTTCCAAAGCTCCAGTAGTCAAAGGGAAAGCTCCCTTTCCAGGGGTGGAGGATGGCGCTGAGGCGAGTCCCAGCAAGGTCGCCAAGAGCTGGAGCTTCACTGAAAAGAACCGAGGACAGAAACACTCCCTAAAAATCAGGGGCAGCACCTCACGCCAAAACTCAGACGGTAACAAAACTGCACACAATACACACTCTAACTGCAAAAAGATGACTTTTCACGATAAATGAGGTTTATTCATGTTGTTCTTTCCTTCCAAAACTATCTGAATAAACAACCTACCTGATAAAAAAGGTGTCACTCCAATGATCCGGGATGCAGGATTCTGTGCGATATTTAGATGAAAAGTAATGTCTGACTTTTTAAAATGATTTCCTTTATTCAGTCCATTTTAGATATACAGAGACGAAGAGAACGGAAGTCCAGTTAAATCTAATAAAATATTGCTACACGAAAAACACATCATGTACATTTATTTGTCTTTAATTTTACTTTGAGTGTATGAAGTATAATAATGTATTAATTACACAGACACAGACTGGATTCATGCCCCGTAAAGCAAAGATATGCTTATTTATCACACAAAAATTATTGTTGTTTCACGCCCAATGTTCATGTCATTCAAAGGCACATGTAAGACTCCTACAGTGAAACAATCACAAAACAGTCAAACGTCTCAATCATGTTGGAAAGAAGGTTACATTGAAATGATTTCCTTCTCAGCCGACTGGGACATTGTCAGTTTTTCTCCTCTCAAAAACCAAAGAGGGACGTAGTCTTTGTTTACAGTAGGAGCCTGCAGGGTTGCCAAGTCTGCGCTAGTGTGTTGTTCTGGACACTAGGGGCAGTACAGATTAATACTGACAGCAAAAGAAGAATTGAGAATCCGAGGCCATTTCTCAATACTCAAGGACGCTGGTACATTCTTGTGTACCAGACAAGTATGTTCTTGGCAAGGACACCATGGGAGGACGAGGACAGCATTTGGAACAGAACTGTACTCCCTTGTGTCCTGGCAACAAGCATAATAATACTTCTTGCTACAGTTAAAATAAACTACTTGACATAAAAATAAAGGTCTAGTTTGTTCCTTAAAGTGAGAGTCAAGGCCTGGGTGGAGATGTATGTCATCCACACTTCCTGTTAGGAAAACGCTTCTGAAAGAGGCTTCGCCTGGCGGGCCAAGAGAGCGGCACTGAGGCAGTAGTAGCCCGAACCCCCCACCCCCTCTCCCCCCGCGTGCGCTGTCGGAGTTTCTCAATCTAAAAACTGGCTGTTACTCACACAAGACTTACCCCTCAGGAGAAAAGCAGACACATAGCAGCATTCTGGAGGATTTCCTGTTAACCACGATCATTAGATGAAAAGCGGAGGAGGGCATTTTTTTCAAGGAGGTGAGCGGCTCAGAGAGCCAGCGTGTCATATCGGCAGGTGAGTGGCTGAGCCAGGTGGAGGTGCGGCTGCCTCACCTGGAGACCAGTGCGGTGCCGCCACGTAGCACTTTGCTGACAACGTCACGTTTTTCAGCTCAGCCATCAGCCACAGCTGATTCTACATAAATGTGGAGCAGAGTTTTTAACCTGAGGATGGAGATAGAATTATGGTTTTGGGCTGAAATATTAAATTTAAAGTAAGTTGCACTAAACTGCCACACTAATGATTACACATGTGTGCAGCACCATTAGACACTCATCTATACAGGTTATCAGCAAAAAAAAAAGAAGTTAATTTAGGTGTTACTTGCTCTTTTAATAACAAAATAACAATGAAAACGTATTATTTGTATAATATTTGGCCCACTTTTGATCAAAAGTAATACAATACTAGCATTTTCCACTCTTTAATTAAAAAATATGTGTATTTTCATCAGAACATGGCTACGGTGCTCTTATTTTGATAGTGGGTTAGCTAATTGGCAATTTGAAGGGTTGTGAAGATAAAAACCCAAACACACACAGCACAATATATAGTTTACACACGATTATTTACAACAACAAACAACTTTATATTATTTAATTTATATTTCTAATATAAAACATTACAGTTATTGACTTTTTCCTTTGTTGATGATGTTTTACAAGGACGTGAGTACACAAGTACAGACACGTACGCATGTTGAGAAACTGCCCTAGATGGATGCTGTATGTGACTTTTCCTCCCTGTAATAAAGTTCTGTACTGATACGCATTTGCGTCAGCATTGGTAACTCCATACTGGTCGGCAAAATGCAGCAACCTGCCCTAGTAACAGGAGCGACCAAGAAGTTATTTCATTTACCCCCAAAGAATTCACAACATCCTTTAGTTTTACTCTAATATCAGAAAAGGAAGGCTAGAGGGTAACGTTGACATAACAATGCTAACAGTAAATTAGAAACAAATAGAAGCTATGTTGTTTAACAACAAACGACTAAATATTACCTTGAAATCAATTTTATCTACTTTTCAACTTACTGTGTAGAATCTTCCAACGCTGATCCGTAATTTGAAATAGTCATGAAACCCACGGAACGGTAGCGGCAGAGTCACTCGTGTGACAATGGGCTGCCATACCCAAATTTGACCACAGGATGTCAGTCTAACTTTATTCTCACATAATGCACCTTTAACTTGTCTGAACTACACAACAGATTTTATTAATTCATTTTTATTTTGTCATTGCACAATTTGCCCAATTTTATTCCAGTGACTCTTTATGATGTTAAAGGACGTAAACCAGAGTTGCGTGTGGCTTCACATGAGTCTCTGAACTCCGCACTTAAAGGCTTTCCAGAAGGACAACATGCAGAAATCTGCAAGGAGAATGGAGGATCAATAAAGGACAGAGAGAAGCTACTTGTCCTCCTTCATTCATAAAAAAGAGAGATGTTGTCTCCTGCAAGGGTCCAAAACCAGAGCAAAGTGTCTGTTTCAAGGCAGCTTTTCAGCTAGGGGTTGATGAGCCAAAGAAGATTCTGGTCAGATGTTTTGGTGTTGAGTCACTATTTACTGCAGTTGATGCAAATACATCCATCCACCATCCCAGGCCAATGTATCACTGTCAACAAATATATTTCTCTTCTTCACCATTTCTTTGGCTTTTTTTGTAAAGAATTTGAACCGATTCTCATTCTTCTTCTTTCACCTCATGACACGATAAAGTGCTGATTGAAATGCAGGACGACGACTTTGGACTGAAGAGTTCTCCAGGTTAGACGAGTTATCATGATATGTCTTCAGCTTCAACTGTAATGTCATCTGCATCGTGATCTAGATAGGTGGTTCTCAAACTTTTTATGAGGAGTATCACCGTAGAATACCGTAAACTCAGCAGTTAACACCAAAATGAAGCTCAAACCCCAATAACCATAAAAGTTGATGCTTCTGTTCAGAACTGACATAAAATCTGCTTTAATGCCCAATTCGAATCCATCCGTCCGTCGTCGATACCTGTCTCCAGCAGTCATTGTGTGAACCTAACAATGTCCACATTTTTATTAAAGATGGGATCTTGATTGATTTGCGCCCATCTATACCTCGCCACCAACTCCCAACAAATGGTTTTAGTCTGAAGACTGATTCCATGAGAACTTTCAAGATTACAGAAACGGACCAAACCCAGGTTGAAGGATGCTGTCTAGGATGATCCGTGTAGGAGTTACAAAGAACATAAACTTGAGTTTTGATCCAACAACAATACCAACCGTCCTGGTGCAGTTGATGTCACATACAATATTACCCGGAAACTATTGATAACACATTTTTTTCCGGTTAGAAGGATCCCGAGTACCAACGGCGGAACCTGCGCTACAGTTTGAGAACCATGGATCTAGAAGATCGGTTACATTTAGATTAAATGCACAAGCAGACGGGCGTGAGCCAGAAACTGTCCCTGGATTCCAAACTCTTCCATGATTACAACTGACCTGTCTGCCATTGTCATCCAGCTAGAATCCATAACAACTCTTTTTCCATGTCTCTCTCCTCTCTCTTTTTGCAGCAATTGAAGGTTTAATAAGTAAGACATTAGGAACATATCTATCTATCTATTTTGGTTGGCTTCTGTGGAGGAAACTATAAGAAAAACGGTCTGAGGAAACTGCATGTCGGCTCTGTTGACTTGACATGAACCCTTCCTAATTTTCTTGTATTACATTTGTTTTTGTCCCCCTTTGTGACTGAAGGCTGTAAAGCATGAGTGTAGATGTAATTAAGCATGACATGATTTGATTAATTGTAACTAAAATGTTTCTTAAAGCTGGGGCACGTAGTGTGACGTCATTTGAACAGTGATGGCTCCCACCCTGCGTGCACACACCAATAGCCTTTTAGCACAAACAGAGAAATAATGTTTTCAATATGTTCCTGCTGACTCGATTCTAACTACTTATCTCCTCAGCCTTCATTGGGTTCTGCAGAATCTGCTAATCACTCGTTTTAATCAAACCTACAGTGCTGTACCAGGGAAACATCTAAAACTGGCAGGAAACCGGCTAGCTCACCTGTGCTAATTCAACAAGCTAAAACAGAAGGCCAATGTAAGCGTATGGTTTAATACTAAACCAGTCACTTAGCTCCATTACACAACAGGTAAATCCCTTTTCATTCCCCTCCCTCTTCAACAGTTAGCTTGGGGGGGGGGACAACGGTCCGGAGCACGCCCATCAGCCCGGGAGTGTCCAGAACGCCCAGATTGCCGCTACTGGTTGCTCTAGGCTGACATTAATTATTCGTTCTGCTGTAGAGGGCAGGAGAGGGACTTAGGGGAACTATAAATTCTGACAGAACAGGTTCAGATTGTCAAATCAAAGCATTTTTAAGTTGATTTAAAAAAACGATACCATGTACCCCAGCTTTAAAACAACACAGCTTTCTTTATGCCCCAATTTTTACAGCAACAGTGGGCTAAGCTAATAGTGGGTTCAAGTCAAGCGGTGCCAAGACAAACACAAATTGACCCAGATTTATTATGGTTATGCTTTTTTGCATGAAAAGACCTCACTTTCCCTACCAGATTGTCAGCTTTTGTCTGTAATCAGGTCTTGACACCTTATTGAAACTCCACTGAAGAGCTTTTGGCTAGACTAAACATGCCAATTATGATACTAGTCTAATACTAATTGGTAGTGGGAAGAGAGTACTTATTCAAAAGGTTTCGGTTAAGCTTTACTGCATCAGCACCATCCTTCAATTCTGCTCTACACAAGTCTTTTTCCTGTCGCTCATAGCGCTCACAGACAGGGTCTCAGGCTTGAAACCAACATGAAAGCTGTGACTGGAAACCATGAAATCAGCAGCCCTGCTTTGCTTCTGCTGTTCAGGCTCGTCACACAGAAGCAGGCAACCACATCTCTAATGACTGGCTTTGTTTTTGCTGTCCAGAGGCAAGCCTCCCGGGAGAGGAAATCGGTGATGATAAGAGCTGCCACTGTGAGTTTTTCACTCAAGAGTTACCTCCAGGATTGAAGGTTACAATTAGAGCAATTTGGTAAGGATTCACTTCACTGATTAAGACGTTTTAGGAAAATGTTCCAGTGATGAGAACATAAACACTTGAAGTTGACCTTTTTTTCTCCTCTTAGGTTAGATGTTATAAGATGCACGTCAGGAAGTTCATTTGGTCAAATTTAGGCCTTGAAACTCAAGTGTTGGACTTGGAGATGACTTAACACTCGAGTGGAAATGCTAAAGAGTTATTTCTGGCTTAGAACAAAAAATCAACTTTGTCCCTCATGTAATAATTCAGTCAGCACAGGGAGCTCTTTAAGCACATGCAAAAACTAGATGGTGATGGTGGCAGAAGAATTAAGTGCCCACCTCCTTACTGGAAGTTTGCAGGTTCGTGCTCGCTCTGTTGCAGTCGTGACCTTTGGCAAGGCACTTCACCCTTGCCTGCTGGTGGTTGTCGACAGGACTGGTGGCACCAGCCTTCAGGCTTCTGTCGGTGCACCAGCGCAGCTGTGGCTACAATGTAGCTCATCACCACCACCATGTGAATGTGTGCGTGGGTGGGCAAATGACTGCTTTGTTGTAAAGCACCTTGGGGGGTTGTAGAACTCTATAAGGCTCTACAACGCCAGGTTGTTTACCATTTTAGGTGGTGTTTCTTAAATCTTTCTCATAGTATCTGATTTGTGAGCATTTTTGGCTTTGCCAAATGCACTTTAGTGTTATTTTAGCCAAATGTATTTGTCTAAAAATCAAAGAAAAATGAAAGTGTTGCTAAATCAGCTGAAACGGACCATACAATTCACTTTAAAGGGTTAGAAAAATAGAAGAACCTTAATTGTCTTTTGGGCTTTCTTGCAATTCTATAATTCTCTCCAACAAAAAAAGTTATTTCCTGTCTGGTGGAATAATTACAGAAGTAGGCAAGTCAGTGAAGCTTCAAGGGTTAGAGTGGTGGTACTTTCACTAGTTTCAGTAATCAGTGAGAAGTTTCTGTTGGGTTCACAATGTGATATTCTACGCAGCATCATGAAGTTCCTGGTGTCTAAGAGGAGGTTCAAAGAGAGCCTGAGACCTTATGATGTCATGGACGTGATTGAACAGTACTCCGCAGGACACCTGGACATGTTGTCTCGCATTAAGAACCTGCAGTCCAGGCAAGTACATGTTCACTGTTTGAGCTGATTTATGTGAGATACTATTAATGTGTTTATTATAGTGTTTAAATTCTTAAGGTTCTGTATAGTAGCAGTCATTCACTAACATAGCGGATACACACATGTCGATTTGCCCGTCTCATTTGTCCAGCTACATGTGCTGTATTCAGATCTGTAATATATCAGCAGCTTTTGTCTGAAATCACGATACAAACTCACTTCGTCACATATGTACTCAGTGTAACATCAGTGTGTTTTATTTATGTCGGTTATATCAGGATCCTCAAATCTTGATGCCCTGCAGGTCTAACATGCAATGAAATATATTCCAGCAGTGAAAACACTTTTCATCCATGAAGCAAGTCAGGCTCACCATGTGTGCTGTGTGTGTGGAATATATTGATGTGATTCCCACGTTGCTTCATTGTTGCACTGCCCTCATGTCGTCTCTGTGTGCCTCGCCAGGGTAGATATGATTGTTGGGCCCCCTCCCCCAACAACACCTCGTCATAAGAAGTCCACTGAAGGTCCTAGGTTAGGTTAATAGATTGCACCTTTAGAATGAACATGTTACCAGCATTATTCTCTTGATATCAAATACTGGAGCAGATGCATATTTCATCATTTTGACTGAGGAACCCCTTTTGAGACCAGGACAAGTGATCTGTCTCGTAAAGCTAAAGCAAATACAGAAATGCAAGAGATAGAGATGAAATCAACGCTACTTTCTGTGCTGAATTTAGCTGCTTTGTACAGTTTTATGAGCTGCCTGCAAGAAAAGGCCAGAAACTCATATTAACCCTACAGTTTTGTTGATGAGCCTCATCATATGACCTCACTCAATAGGGGTTTAAAGTGCAAGTTGCTTGTTCCCATAGAGACAGAGGGAGAGATTCCCCAGTAGGATGCAATTGAAATGAAGCATGAAGCACCAACAAAGGCATGCCAAGTGATGCATTTTGGCTCCAGACTGTAAATCTGTCAACTCAAGCTTTGGTTCTACCTCATCTCATAATGCATGCATTCACGCATTTCATCAAACCTTTCAAAAGGCCATCATTTCAAACACGTCTGTGTGAAGTTTCACAAAAATCATTATCTCACACTTTTTTTGAGTGAGATTCATCCTCTTTTTTGCATTTGACAGTTGTTTAAGGAAAGCTAATAAGTTTGGAGAAATGTGATTATTTTTTACGTCTAAGACGTCTCTTTTTCAACCTCTAGAGTTGACCAGATAGTTGGAAAAGGCTCTAAAGCTGACGGGGACGTCGCAGAGGACCAAAGCATGATGGGACGTCTAGTCAAAGTAGAAAAACAGGTATGTTTCACCCAGGCCTGGCTCTGGCCACATGGGTGCCCCAAGCAGAATTGCATTCTTCAGGCCACTCCACTAAAGTGCTAAGCATGCAGAGTGACTCACGGACGTTCTTTCCCACCAGCCTAATTGGTTGGTGCCCTCCTGGCCACTTGGTGCCCTACGCATGGCACGCACCAGCGCTAGGTTCCCCCTTCTCCCTCCTACCGATTGAAAGAAGAATTACAATTGTCGTAAACAACCCTGCTGCTGCAACCGCTTCTACTGTCACCCGTCTCCCTCTCCACTGCCACACTCGTCAACAACTTCCAGCTTTCAATCTGGTGATCACATATGGTTGGAGCAAGACAAGCAATCCAATGGGAAGGAGCGGCAAGGCTTCCATGGAGAGAACCAGCGTTATCCCCCGCACAATGTTTAGAGGGAGAGGGAGAACTTTCATGTCAAAGTGCAAATGCTAATCACGGAGAATTATATCTTGTATGTCCCTAAACAGCTACAGTATTTCACTGTGGTCAGGGGTGGACTGGCCTATCTGGCATTCTGGCACTGTCCCAGTGGGCTGCTTAGCCAAGTGGGCTGCTTGCCCAGCTTGGGCCGACACTACTCCACAGTTGGTGATCTGCAGAACATTAGCTACATGGTAACCCGAAGCTAACAGAGTTTTTCCAGGCGTTTTTAGCTAGAAAAATGCGGTAGAGCGATGACGTAGGAGTTGTTTTACCGAGTTAGCATGTAGCTAATGTCTCGTTGATCTCCACCTATGGAGAATGAGCTGATCTTGAAGGTCAGGGCTCCCGGTCGCAGCGGTCTGGCACTGCTTGTAATTTAACAGTCCCAGTTCATACTAGATCTCACATTCAGCCTAGAGACGAGTCCGCAGGCGACAACAACCGCACCCCCACCGCTTTCCCAATTGGGAGGGCCGACAATTCGTAAAAATGCCAGGGCTGAATTTTGGTCCCAGTCCACCCCTGACAGTGGTGCATGACTATGAAGCATTGACCACAGTTTATAAAAATGTAAAATTTCAAGCTACTTGGAATATTTAGAATAGACGTTGATGAGAAATATTAATGAAAAAGGACAAGTTTGTAAATGGATTCACATAGTTTAACAGTAAAAGTAACATATTACACACTGTGCCTTTTCCTGCTAACAGTCAACGTCTCATGGACGTGCAGATCATGTCTATGTTGAGTCTGTTGGTCCAGACAACATATGTAGGACGTCCGAGCTAGATCTTTCCACTGTGGATTAGAGAGGTCCTTCACTGAGAAACCCTTTTTACTTATTATTTCTGATTCTAATCGTTCACTCTTAGTTTTTCATGCAGGTTGAACATGAAAATAGTCTCCTACACCTATCTCCTGCATAAGCTTCTGATTGATAATAGACGGTGAAACTCTGGGGTTAGAAAAGCCTGCAGATCTACGTCACACTGTCTCTTAACATTTATGGACTCACCCATCTTGACTCACACTGAGTAAAGCTGACCAGAGCAGAAGCTAACCATTAGCATTAGCAACTCCACCATATGGCCGAACTCCTCCAGGCTTATATTTGTAGAGGTAAAGCATCAGTGTGTCAGAGCAAGCAGAGTCAGTGGTAGAGTTGAATTGCTGAGATGTCTAAGTATCAGTGTGAAGCTAGTCTGTCCTCTGGCTGAGTTCTCCGTGCTGAAACAGGCACATCTGAGCGTTTTCCCCACAGTACAACTTACAAGGCATACCACTGCAAGTGTATTACAAAAATGAGTGAAGGCCTTCCTTAATAAGGATATTTGAAAGGTTTTATTTCCATATTGTGCTTTTCTCCCCTGCAGGTGGTTTGTATGGACAGGAAACTTGATTTCCTGGTGAATGTGTACGTGCAGAGAATGGGCATCACCCATTCTGAAACAGAGGCCTTTTTTAACTCCAAAGAGCCGTATCCAGCACCGCCTTACCACAGTCCAGAGAAGACAAAGGAAGAAAAAGAGGAAAAGGAGGAGGAGATGCAGAAAAAGAAGGGGAAGTCGTGTTCATCAGATGGCCAATGTTCGGAAGTATCTCTGGAAAAGAAAGATCCTTTACTTGGTCAGTCAGCAAGATCAGTGAGTACTCCATCTGGCAGCCACAGCCGCCCCTGTACGTCATGGCAACACCAGCTGCAGCACCCCCTCAGCCAGCCTGCCTGGGGCAGCAGCATGGCCAACACCCCGTCACCAGTTGGTGGCGGAGGTGACCAGTCGCCAAATATGTTCCGCCTTCCGCCTCCCCCTGCTCCGGTGCTCGACCGATCGTCCTCTGCTCAAGGCAGGAGCGGCAGGGAGAGCAGACGGTGCCACAGGAGGCAGAGGTGTCAGCAGGACGCCACCGCCGCAGAGAGCGACACGTCCCTCTCCATCCCATCTGTTGACCACGAAGAGCTGGAGCGCTCCTTCAGTGGCTTCAGCATCTCTCAGGCCAAGGAGGACTTCTTCGGGCCTTCTTTCTTTACAGGCTCATTAGGAGGTGTGATGGAGACAGATGCTGGAGCTGGACCATCACTCTGTGCCAGGGTCAGACCTTTTATAGCCGAAGGGGAATCGGACACGGACTCTGACCTGTATGCCCCTTCACCTCTGTCCTTCACTGGAGAGGCTGCATACGTAGAGAGGGGGTGGCCCGGGCTGAAGTAGGTCAGAGAGGTCTACTGTCTCCAGGCTGGGGGTGACGGATCAGTGCCCATACCAGATCCGTCACTCTTCCAGCTGTCCGTCCACGACGACGCCGTCACAAACAGACTAAACGGATTCATTCTCAAGGCCAACAAAAAACATGACTTCATAAAAACTAAACTGTTTACGTTTTATCACCTTTTATGATTGTAAACCAACATTTCATCAATTACCCTTACCTTTGCTTTGTACAATTTAAGATTTTACATTCTTTTTAATTTATCATCATTTAAAAGATCCTTGTGAGGGTATTATTTATTTATTTAAACATAATTTTACACGGAGGAATAACCACTTGAGATGAAACATCTCGTTTTTGAGTGGGTCCTCCTTTACAACAAAAAGAACAGAAACGAAGAGCAAGACAGCAGAGCAAAAATCAAAATCAAAACATTACAACAATCATTTACACACACACACACACACACACACACACACACACACACACACACACACACACACACACACACACACACCCTCAAAGGCTCACAATACTTCACCCCACACTACATGACCCCAACTAACAAGGACTAAAGAAAAGCAACAGCCAGTTGAACAAATACAATTAGTAACATAGACAATTATTCCTGAAGATGATCGACCAGAACCCTTCGAAAAGTAGTGAATGATGATAAACGACGAATAGATAAAGGAAGATTATTCCAATCACACGGAGCCTTAAAACCAAAAGCATGTTTCCCTGCCTCTCTTTTCACTCTAGGCTCGTATTAGACTCCTACAACTATCAAATCTGTTAATTCAGCTACTTCTGATGATGTTTTAGGTCATTGTTTTCCTTTCTAACCTGAATGAGTGCAGTTTAGCACTTTTCATGTTAAAAACCAGTTAAAAGTTCAAAGGACAGTGGGAGCTTGTAATGCAAGGTTCTGAAAACCTTAAAAATCACTTGTTTAGCATAATGTCTTGAAAACTTCTATATATTTGAATGACTTGAAGTGTTATAATGCCAAACCTATAGCTATGGTAATCAGACTCATGCAGAGTAAAAAAAAAAAGCTTGCTCTCTACATCGGTGATTCAGCTTTCAGAAAAGTCCCCTAAGAGTAATAAGATATTCTTCAGTGAACCAGTGACCCTCTTGCATGGCATGCTAAATGGTTGATTTCTAGGACTGTGTTAAGCAGGCTGTAAACCAAACTGTGGCAAAAATGAACAAATAAATATGATAATCTCCAAAACTCTACTTTTTAAACCTGTAGAGACAAAACAGTCAAGAAAAAGTGAAACAAAACACAAAGTGCACGCGTGACTGGTTTCAAGCTGCAGCGTTTTAATGTTTCAAAGAGGCTTTGCTTGAATCCAGTCATGTAAAAGCTGTTCAAGCTCGCTTCTTTTAACAGCCACCGTGCACAAATCATGTGCAACAAGTAAATACTGCATACATAGGTAAATGTTAGGGGCTGTGAGTTTTTTCTTTTTGTATTGGGATCACACAACGTGCACTGTTGGAGATGGAACAAATACAAGTGAAACCATCCCACTTGGACATGATGGTGTTGATCTTTCATGAAGATGCTCTGTCGGCTCTGCACTAGATGAGAACATGCAATAATATTTGAAATTTAAGAAAAGATAATGTAAAGGGCAATCAAGAACCATCCTTAACACACATTGCCTTATTTTCACACCAAAACTAATTTTTTAAGTCCATAAACCAAACATTTCATTTTAAATGTTTAATAAAAAATGTTGAAAGTGAAATTTCAGGTGATCTATAAGAGGTTTGTTGTCTGGAAACATTTAATTAATAACTACCCATTTTAGACATTGACAGTTCTAATTAAGACTAGCTTAATTACAACATTGACTTTATCCATAGACATAGACGAAATCCATAGTTCATCAGTAATTTGCCAACATTTATTAGTTTATTTTTAGTCTGATGGAAAAGTTTGACATCAGTCTGTTAATCCAGATTAATCTCCATGATGTAACTGCACCTTTATCTCCTTCATTAATAAAACTTTGTACCAAAAATTATGACTTCAGCTGAATTTTTCATGTATTTTTTATGGGCACATGGCTGCCATGTTTGACAGGATGATGTAATGATTATGATCATCCACCAGATGGCAAGAGAGCTAAACCAGGTAGGTAGGTAGGTAGATTTGGTCGGATCATTTGTTCAGCATTGTGAGGCCAGGATCTTAGTTGAAAAGTTGGTACAAATGGGAGCTGATTTGCCCATTAGTAAAAGCCGCAAGGACCTGAGGCTTATTTACTGGAGCACCCGGGGATTTGCACATCTTGAACAACAAAAGCATCAACTGAATGTGCAAGCAACCAGCAGAAACATGCACTTAATCGTTTTCCCCTCGCACTCCTTGTTCTTTAGTTGTCTTCCCCATCACTCCTCGTTCTTTAATAGTTTTCCCCGTCGCTCCTCCTTCTTTAAAATCTAAATGTTGCAAAATAAACCACAAGTAGATTTAGCATTTCATTAGGCGGATTAGAAATACAAGTTAGGCCCATAATGCTGGCCGTGGCTTTTCTTTTAAAAGGTTGCCGTTTGCTTTTTGCATCTTTGTGTGTGCAACGTTCTTTTAAAGATGAGGTTTGTGTTTAAACAGTGTCATTAGATGGAGATAGAACATTGACCCTTTGATGATGGATGTGAAGACTGAGCAATCAATGAAACCATTACAAACCTGAGTCTTACAAAAGTCCTGACAAATGAGAAGCCAAAACAGATGTGACGCATACGTTTTGGTATAAAACAGCTTCAGCCAGGTGCAAATGAATGGGAAACTCAAAAAATAAAAAAGAATAATAAAAGCACGTCTCCAAAATCTTCGTTTTTGGGCTTTGGATGAGGAAAAATACATCTATACCGATGATTTAAGGTAAACTGAGATTAAATACGAAGGTTTCTTTTTCCCAAGACACTCTAAAATTACAGATGAGAGGAAGAAACACCTGCATGTCCTTTAGTCCAGTTGTGTTGTGTAGACATCTGGTGGTCTCCGTGGCAACACTTCATTTATGTATGGTGTTTGGTATCATGAGGAAAGACCTCAGTGTCTGCATCAAGGGCAAATGCAGTCAGCTGACCTTCCTTCATCCCCTCACACACACACACACACACACACACACACACACACACACACACACACACACACACACACACACACACACACACACACACACACACACACACACACACACACACACACACACACACACACACACACACACACACACACACACTGGGACCACAGAGGGGTCATTAGCTTTATAAATAATATTGGCCAACATAGATCTCAATTAGAGGTGTTACACAGCTGGATGGCAAAGTCTTTACAAAATAGCAGAAGACGATCTGTTAATTTAAAGCAATAGATAACATACCATACCATACCATACCATACCATACCATACCATACCATACCATACCATACCATACCATTGGGAGCTGGCGGCTCTGATGAAGGGGGAAGTTCTGGCCAAACCATGTTAGCCGAAGGTAAAGAAACATCTAATTACTTCACTGTGTTAAATAAGCAAACATAATTACACAGAGAGCATACAGAAGAGTAATAAACATAATATTTTCCTACAGAAGTTGTTTATTCTGTTCCATTGGTTCTGAATGGTGGAATTGAACTTTCAGACTGTCTCTTCCTCTTCTTCCTCTTCTAAAGGTTCTCGAGGGAAAGCATAAGTCTCCATATTTGTAAGTCCAGATATCACACAGCAGCTCAAAGCTCTGCGGGACACGTCCATGCTGCAGACATTAGTCCACCGATTGGTTGTAGTACTGTAGAACTCAGCATTGGAAGTGGAGGAGGAGCCATCGAAGCCTCCAACAACGATGAGCTTGTCTTCAATCACTTCCAGACCAAAATTGCTGCGTGGAGTAAACATGGGTGGCGCAGCCACCCAAGTATTGGTTTGCGGATTGTAGGCCTCAGCACTGTGCAGACGTTCAGTACCATCAAAGCCTCCGACCTGTTGGGAGTAAAAGTCTATTCAGTCTGACCTAATTGGTGGCATTTGATCTTTTAGAAGTTTATTTTAGATGTTTTCATAAAAGAAAACATCTAAAATACTGAAATCCAAACTCAAAATCTGCATTTTCAGGCTGTGTACTTTGTATAACAGTAATTCCAAATCTGACGACAGCCTGAAAGACTGGGGGTAGCCTGTGTGTTGGTGAAGCAGACTGAGGGGAGCCTGAATGGAGGATGGAAGAAGAAGAAGAAGAAGAAGAAGAAGAAGAAGAAGAAGAAGAAGAAGAAGAAGAAGAAGAAGAAGAAGAAGAAGAAGAAGAAGAAGAAGAAGAAGAAGAAGAAGAAGAAGAAGAAGAAGAAGAAGAAGAAGAAGAAGAAGAAGAAGAAGAAGAAGAAGAAGAAGAAGAAGAAGAAGAAGAAGAAGAAGAAGAATTTCTATAGCGCCTCTCAAGATAAAAATCACGAGGCGCTTCACAAAAACAAAAAATGTAAAAAAACATTTAGAAAATGTTTAAAAATATATTTGAAATGAGCAAAAATATACAATTGTGATTAAAAAATGTAGAGAGAGAGAGTGAACAGGAAAGAGGGAAATCAGTGGATCCTGAGGAAGGTGGAATAGGTGGGGAGAGCAGAATAAAGAGAGAGAGGTGAAGAAGGTCATACAAAAACCAGCTTGAACAAGTGAGTCTTCAGCTGCTTTTTGAAGGAGACCACTGAGTCCACTGATCTCAGGCTCAGGGGGAGAGAGTTCCAGAGTCTGGGGGCCACAGCAGCAAATGATCTGTCACCTTTGGTCTTTAGCCTGGTACTGCACAACCAGTAGGCTTTGATCACTGGACCTCAGGGACCTGCTGGGGGTGTAGGGACTAAGAAGATCACCAATGTAAGATGGTGCTTGTCCATGTAAGGCCCTATAGACCAGAACCAGGATCTTGAAGTGAACCCTGAAGTTGACTGGCAGCCAGTGAAGCTGGAGGAGAAGCGGGGTGATGTGGGTGTGTTTGGAGGACTTGGTCAGAAGCCGAGCACAGGCGTTCTGAACCACCTGTAGACGGTTCAGGGAGGTTCTGCTCAGACACGTGAAAAGAGAGTTACAATAGTCTAAGTGTGAGGAGATGAAGGTGTGGAGAACTGTCTCAAGTTCAGAGCGGGACAGAATGGGACTCAGCTTAGCAATGTTCCTGAGATGGAAGAAGGAAGAGCGAACAAGAGAACTGACATGAGAATCCAGGGTGAGAGCTGGGTCAAAGGTCACGCCAAGATTCCTGACAGAAGGTTTGGTGTGAGAAGCAAGCTGACCAAGAGAGTCTCTGACTTTGGGAACCAGCTTGTCTGGGGCACAGATGAGGATCTCAGTCTAATCTTCATTCAGCTGAAGAAAGCTCCCAGCTATCCAGGTTTTGATGGAGTCTAAGCAGGTGTGTAACAGCTGCAGCTTAGACATCTCATGGGGCTTAAAGGAGATGTACAGTTGGATGCCATCTGCATAAAGATGGTAGGAGATTCCTTTGAAGAAGCTCAGGATGTGCTGAAGAGGAAGCAGATAGAGGAGGAAGAGCAGAGGCCCCAGTACAGAACCTTGTGGGACACCATGGGTAAGGGAGGTGGTGGAGGACCTAAACTTGGAGGAACTTACTGCATAAACACGATCCGCAAACGCAATGACTCCAACACCACTGCGCGGGCTGCTCATAGGGTGGATTAATGTCCAGTGGTTGGTTTCTGGTGTGTAAAACTCCGCTGACGGCAGGAAATCGTCTCCGTTGAATCCACCACAGATGTAGATCTATAAACACACACAGAAACAGTTTCAAATAGATAATTGAGTTTCTATAAAATCTGTTAAATAGTTTGTTAACCCTCTGGAGGCAGGTGTTGCAGATCTGAAACATTAACCTACCTGGTTACTCTACACACGTGTTTCATGAGCATTTTTTAACTCAGAAGTACCCCTGAAGGACTTAGTTGTTCGTCCCGTTATCAAAACTTATTTTGAGACTGAGAGGGTTAAAATCTTCAAAAAATTTATCTTTTTTGACATAAAAATCATAATAACATGTTATATTTCTGCTTATGGCTGAGGAAAAGCTTTTAGATTAGTAACTGAATAAACTAATGTCATTTTTTTTCTATAGGAGTTATTTCAAAGCAACCTTAAACTCTTTTTCTGGAAACTAAGAGCTCGTTTAACATCACACAAGTTTCAGTTCCACTAAAGCACAGCCACACACCTTTCCCTGAAATGTGGTGCAGCTGGCATCACTTCTTCGCTCATGCATGGATGCAATGAGATGCCACTGGTTGGTTTCAGGACAGTAGTACTCAGCTGTATTAAGACTTCTTTGTCCATCAGAGCCTCCCATTGCAAAGATGAGCCCGTTCAGAACGCTGACACTCACGCAGCTCCGGCGATAGTGCATTGGTGAAACCGCCATCCAGATGTGGGTAGTGGGATTGAACCTGCGGACGCTGTTGAAACACTCCACTCTGTCAAAGCCACCGATGCAGTAAACAAATCCATCTAAGAAAACAGAGCCGTGAAAGGCACGAGGACGCTCCATGTTTTCCACAGTGATCCAGCGTTCAGCCCTGACATTATAGGCTTCTATGGCATTGGTTGGAAGACCATCATTCCAGCCTCCAATGGCCAGGAGGATGGCAGGTGGCAGACGAGGACGGCTAAGGGGGTGGTTGATTCCAGTAAAACCACGCTCTTTCAGGAGGATACATCGATGAAGATAAGTTGCACGTGCAACGATCCGTCCGCTGGCTCCATCTTGTTGCACCAGCTCATTTCTCATCACAGCATTCAAGCACTCTAAATCCATTGTGGCCAGTCTGATCTGTGCACAGATAAGAAGACAGACTTTAGATTCAATTCAATTCAATTCAAGTTTATTTATATAGCGCCAAATCACGACAAGAGTCGTCTCAAGGCACTTCACATAATAAACATTCCAATTCAGGTCAGTTCATTAAGCCAATCAGAAATAATGTTTCCTATACAAGGAACCTAGCAAATTGCATCAAGTCACTGACTAGTGTCAGTGACTATACAGCAATCGTCATACTAAGCAAGCATAAAGCGACAGTGGAGAGGAAAACTCCCTTTTAACAGGAAGAAACCTCCAGAGAATCCCGGCTCAGTATAAGCAGCCATCCTCCACGGCTCACTGGGGAAGATGACTTCATGGGCTTCAGCAATTATTGCCAAGTATCCAGACACGTATAACTGGTGTTTTATTCAATTAAATGTTATTTGGCCCAATTTAATCTTCAGAAAAATGTTTCAGACTCTAGTTGAAATCCTACTATTAACAGTCCATGAACTTGATTGCATGTGCTTTGTTTACCACCGTCAGGTTAGCACAAGCATCTCTGCACTGTGAAGAATATTAATCTAACTCTAGTCGTGGTAGTGAGTGTACCTTAGACAAAAGGGCATAGGTGTCTCTCTGACCTTCCGCCGGCGAGTGGGATACCCATCTGATGACAGACTCAAACACGGCGCTCTCCTGTCTCACCATCAGGTTGTCACTGCTGATGATGTCTTCGACTTCTGGCATGGACAGCTCCAGGAAACTGCCAGAGTGAGCAACCTCCTCAAAGTGGTCAAGGATGTAGGAACAGGCTGCAGAGCACAGCTTAGGAAGGTAGTACTTGGATGTAAGCCTCCAGGTGTTAATGCAGCTGTCCGGGGTCAGTCGCGTAATGAGATAGTCGCTGCAAGCTTCAAGTAGCTCCTCATAGGTGAGGTAGGCAGCCACTTCCAAAAGGGTTCCTACATTGTTGTCTGTGAGGACAAGGAACCCAGTATAAATGTAGTCTATGATCATCTTCATAGTTTCAGCTGACAGAAAGGGCAGATTGTAAACCCTTTCCTCTGGCGGAGACCTCTGTGTGAAGAGGGATCTGGAAAAAGACACATCAGTGAATTACAGTTTTCACAGAGGCAATAAAGGTTCTTATGTTCATCTCTATTAACAGTACTCTGGAACCAGATGATGATTTTTATCTAGTTATTAACAACAGTGTAAATAAATGAATCTGAATGGTCCCTTTTGTTAAATCACAAACGAACTGATTACCTATTTTATTTCTAAAGCTGAGTTTAATTTTAAAGAGGGGATTACATTTTTATAATCGTCGTCGTCTTCCTCCGCTCATCCGGGTCCGGGTCGCGGGGGCAGCATTCCAACTAGGGAGCTCCAGACCGTCCTCTCCCCGGCCTTCTCCACCAGCTCCTCCGGCAGGACCCCGAGGCGTTCCCCGACCAGATTGAAGATGTAACCTCTCCAACGTGTCCTGGGTCGACCCAGGGGCCTCCTGCCGGTGACACACCTCCCCGGGGAGGCGTCCAGGAGGCATCCTGACCAGATGCCCAAACCACCTCAACTGGCTCCTTTCGATCCGGAGGAGCAGCGGTTCTACTCCGAGTCCCTCCCAAATGTCCGAGCTCCTCACCCTATCTCTATGGCTGAGCCTGGCCACCCTACGGAGGAAACTCATTTCGGCCGCTTGTATCCGCGATATTGTTCTTTCGGTCATTACCCAAAGCTCATGACCAAAGGTGAGGATTGGGACGTAGATCGACCGGTAAATCGAGAGCCTGGCTTTCTGGCTCAGCTCCCTCTTCACCACGACAGATTGGCTCAGCGTCCGCATCACTGCAGACGCCGAACCAATCCGCCTGTCGATCTCCCGATCCCTCCTACCCTCACTCGTGAACAAGACCCCGAGATACTTAAACTCCTCCACTTGAGGTAGGACCTCTCCCCCGACCCGGAGTTGGCAAGCCACCCTTTTCCGGTCGAGAGGGAAGAGGGAATATCCCCTCAGTTTCTCATTTTAATAGAAAAGTCTTCTGTCAGCTTTCAGCAATTCAATTCAATTCAATTCAATTCAAGTTTATTTGTAAAGCGCCAAATCACGACAAGAGTTGTCTCAAGGCATTTCACACAGTAAACATTCCAATACAGGTCAGGTCATTAAACCAAACTGAAAAAAGTTTCCTGTATAATAAATCCAGCAGGTTGCATCGAGTCACTGACTAGTGTCAGAGTCTTTACAGCAATCCTCATACTAAGCAAGCATGCAGCGACAGTGGAGAGGAAAACTCCCTTTTAACAGAAAGAAACCTCCAGAGGATCCTGGCTCAGTATAAGCAGCCATCCACCACGACTCACTGGGGATGGAGGAGACAGAACGCACACACACAGGCACGCACGCATGTAAGCACGCACACACACACACACACACACACACACACACACACACACACACACACACACACACACACACACACACACACACACACGAACAGCAGCTTGCAAAGATTTCCACGGTCCTGCTGCAAGAAGAACAAGCATTTTCTGAAATGCCAGCTGACTTCAACCCCCATCTCACTGGTCTGCAGCTGCCAATAACCTGTTAGATATACTAACACGCAGATGGAATCACATTCCACGTCAGAAATAAATCACAACATCTTAATTGTGTCTTTATTTCTTGAAAATGAATCCTGGTTTAACCAGAATATTTCTGCACAAACTTGAAATCATGTTGGGTTTTTGCGTTCAGTGCACCAAAATGAGCCCTCCTCACTGTTTAAGAGCAACTGCATAGCCTGCAGTCTGAAACCTTATTTAAAACTTTGCAGATAGATTATTAAAGTTTTCTGAGATTTTACAACACGATGCAAGTTTTCAGTGGCTTTGTCTTTACCTCTGTGCATTTATCTGAGAAAACTGTGACAACAGCATCAAATTGTGGACATGAGAAGTTGACAATTATGCACTGTCCAAACGTAGCAAGTGTTCTACTCTCTTGTCTAAGTGATGCAGGTTATTTCACAGCTGAAATCAAAGAAATCCGTATGAACCACAGTTTCTGAAGCTTAACTTAAAATTATTGTGTTGTTCCAACCTGAGAATGTTCCAGATTTAAATCGTTATTGTGTCGTTAGCCGGTACCATGTGATGTGGCTGCACTGCACATCAGAATCTCAGCCACACCTCCAGCTGGCTCTGCATCAATTCCCTTTGCAGTTCCCGTTTATCCGCGGGCAGCAGAGGGCGACAACGTCCTCTGCTGCCCGCCGATAAACGGAGTAGGAAGTGACGCCACCATCAGCGCCAGCTCTGAGGAAGTTTGCAGCCACGAATGAAACTGTCAGCAAGGTAAAAAGAAACCTTTCCTGCGTTTCTAAAAAGAACCAAAAGCATGTTGCCGGTTCTCCGTCCAAGTGAGGTGTGTGTGTTGAGCCTGGTGTTTGCTCCTGCGTCAGCTCCACGAGGGGAAGATGCACACACACTGACAGAAGCGTTTTGCTGTCGGACTTCTCCGTCTCCTGGGGAGTGTTGCAAAGCGATTCCCCGCCAGGACAGCAGAGAGAGTAGCGCTTTTCTGGGGTATCCTGTCATGCATCCAGTGTTTTTTTGTATTTCAGAGACTTTTTAACACGGACAAATTTGTCTGTCATCCTCCACCTCTTCACGTACTCGCCACCTCTGAACACACGTTTCTCCTGTTGGTGCTTTATTCAAACAGGAGGTGTGGGTGGTGTAAAACACTTGTAGGGGGATGGCTTTATCAGATTAACTTGTTTATTAAACTGCGTGTGATGCAGTCTTTCCCTTTAATTGATTTACAACTCATGATTCTTAAATAAAACAAAATATTCTATTTCTTCTTCCACAAATTTACCTGCTTTGTCCTAACATCTGAGGATCAACTCACCGGAAGTACGGTATACAGCAGAGGCAGATTTTGTGGACTTTAAATTCCACATCCTGGACTTGAATGACTGCATCGGTTAACTCCTCGTTTAACCGGAGTTCATTGAACACTGGCATCATCTTGTGCGAAGACTGGCCTTCTCGAGTCATCTTGGTGTGTGACAACTCTCTCGAAAGTCTCTCTAATTGTTGATTCAAGTCTGGGGACCTGAGTGAGAGCAGAATTTGGTTACACCACACTTCCAGAGTAAAAACTCTGCACCTTTGTGATCAACAAAACTACAATTTACATCAACATTTTTTTTTTCTGAAACCGCGCTGCTCTGGGTGGCTGCATGTTGGAGTAGCTCTGTTGAATATATGCAGTGTTGGGAGTAACGCCGTTTAAGTATAACGGCATTTATAACGGCGTTCTTTTATAGGTAACGAAATAATCTAATTAATTACTTTTCCCACTGTTGCAGCGCCGTTACCGTTACTGGGGACGGAAGGTTGTGCCTTACTATGTGCTTGTCGAACGTTGAGTAACAGTGTGAGGCTTTCTGACCGCCACACTTCAGCTGCAGCCAGGGAGAGAGAGGTGTTGGTAACGCGCTTACAAACACGATGATTAGCCGGGTGGGCGGAGACCCTCACCGTCTCAGCCGCTGCATGCACATCAAAGCAGTTATGAGAATAATGCCGTTTAAAATAACTGCGTTAATAAAAAAAATGTTTCTTTCAGTAACGAGCAATCTAATTAATTACAAGCGTTTCTGTTACTGATAAGAAAATGCGTGCGTTAAGCAGCGCGGTGTGCTGAAGCTGTCATCAGCTGATCAGGAGCTAAAGAGGCAGATGTTTTCATCCAAGCCAAGCACATCACGGCCCGTGAAGAACGAGGAAGACGTGATGAATATCTACAGCTGCAGATTCGCTGCTGCAGGTGGGAATCTGCGGGTCTGCAGCCGTGCCCTTCTTAGCGTGACAGCGGGACGTCCCAAAGGTCCGCTCACCTGTTCACCGCTCAGACGTCCTGATCTTCTACCTTCCTAGATCATCCAGCTGTAACCTGTTTCTGATCATGTCTTTAGTCCCGCTGTAACACTGATGCATCAGCCTCAGACGTCATGGAGCTCAGGTGTTATTAGAACTACCTGTGTGTGTTTACCACCCAGCTTCAGCTCTTCTGTGGTTGGGTCTGACCCAAGTTAGCAAATGTAAGTCCTCCATCAGGCTTGTGCCTCTTCTAGTGTCATTTTAAAGGATTTATTTTATTTATTTAACCATTACTAGATTATCAGCAACAGAAATGCTGTTAGAAACACACAATTATGTGAAGCTGGAAACATTAGAATACTGAGCAAAATTACATTTATTTCTGTAATTTAACTAGACTGAGAGACCATTTAAAGGTTCAGGAACCTTTACAGGTGTTTCTATTTGCAATTTTAAATTTTAGCTGATTGGGGTCTTGTTAAATATCACACAGTGACCTTTTAATAGTCTAGATAAGTGTAATGCTCCTGTTAGTAGTTCCTCCTGTTAAGTGCTTATTTATTTAAATTATTCAGGTTTATAAAAAAAAAAATATTTGGACATACATTTTATTATGTTCCAGTCATTAGTCATTTATATTTCACTATTGCAGTAATTCTTGCATTCTTTAATGAAAAAAGTAACTAAGTAGTTACTAGGGATGAGCCGGATACTCGTTTTCAGACGAGTATCCGGTACGGATAAAGCATTTTTTACGAATACGAGCATGACACGAGTAAAATTTGTAAATATGTGTAATCGTGCTGAAGGAAAATCGTCATTGGGTAACTGACTGTCTTCACGCTCTGTGATTGGCCAGTCGCATAGAGCGCCCACCCCTCCCTACACACAAAACTGCAGCCGGCCGGGAGCGCAGTCCGTCCGGCTCATCCACGCACACACACCTACAGACAGTAACGGATCTCGCATCAGAATATTGACTCTGATGAAGAAATTCACTCATCCAGCCGGGAAGATTGACGGCTGCTACAGCATCAGACAGCTGGTGCTGCACGAGAGGTGTGTGGAGTTTACAAGCTCCAAACGTTGGGTTTGATGTTGGTTTAACCTTCTCTGGGACGTGATGGATGTAGAAATGATGGTAAAAACACTGCTAACGTGACAGACGTAGCGACAATGTAAAAAAAAAAGGCGTAAAAAAGAGGCAGATGCTGATGCGTTCTATATTGAAGTCAAGTGTGCCACATAATCATAAAAAAGTAAAATATAAATTTTAGAAAGAGATTTATATATTTATTATAAATTAAAACGTTCCAAATATAATGAAAATTTATAACTAACGTAAAAATACGAAGGAACATCTGTTGGTCAGGCTGAAAAGTTTGGTAACTACTGCTAAGTGATAAGTGAATATTGTTTCTTAGTATATTTTATGTCCAGTTTTTTTAGGGCTTTTATGTTTTCTGTAAAGATCGGTATGCTGAAAATCATTTAATGTTTTGCATAAAGCATGAGGTTTTGGTTAGTAATCAATTGGAAGAATAACAAATGACTGATTTAAATAGTGGAGCGCCTCTGTCAGTGTGCCCCAGGGCAGCTGTGGCTACATCGTAGCTTATCACCATCAGTGTGTGAATGTGTGTGAATGGATGAATGATACACTGTAGTGTGAAGCGCTTTGGAGTCCTTACTCTAAGAGGCACTATACAAGTGCGGATCATTTTTCATTTATAGTGTTGATCAGGCAGAGCTTTGCTGCCAGTGTTCCACTGCATAATGGCTTCAAAGTGTTAGTTTTTACGTAAACCATTGGATGAAATTACACAAACTGACTGAGCTCTAAGGCGCTTGCAATAGTTTGTGTATGTGTATGTGTACGTGTGTGTGTGTGTGTGTGTGTGTGTGTGTATGTGTGTGTGTGTGTGTGTGCGTGCGTGCGTGCGTGCATGTGTTTGGGGGAGGGTACATTGGAACTGTGTCCCCCCCAGTTTGAAAATCCTATCTGCGCCCCTGGTATAAATCACTCAGTAGGGGAGCAGATTTCATATGATGACATTATTGATGACGTTGCATCAAGGTTAGGTTTTAATTTTAGTTTTTGTTTTCTGTTCTAAGTGCAATGCTGTAGTGAGTATCTTTAGTTTGTTATGTGTGAAATATTTTTGCTATTTAGAATATTTATTATATATTTGTTCATATATTCTTAATATTTTGTTATTGTTTGTTTTTGTGTATTTGATTTTATAAATTTTGATACAATAATGTATATTGCTTTACATTCTGGCAACTTCATAGTAATTAATGTAAATATGTGCAACTTAGAAAGATGAATGTTCAATAGTCGTTCTAATAAAACATGCCTGTTTGTAGAAAACATGTGTGTGTTCGTGCAGGTGGGGTGGTGGTGGTGGTGGTGGGGGGGGGGGGGGGGGGGGAGGCTCAAAGGGGGCCTCGCCCGGGGAGTAATTCCATGTAGAACCGCCACTGGTCTCCGTCCACTTACTCTGCTTCCAGTTCAAAAAACAGCCGTACTATCTGAACTGCCTGGTGGACATTTATCCTTCTCATCATCCTTTATATAGGCCTAATAAAAGCCGACTAAACTGCAAGGACAATATACCTGTCCGGATCGCTCCAAAATATGAAGTTTGCTGTCAATATCTGTCTGTTTGTTGTTAATCCGTTCGCGCCACTCCTTTCCCGCGATGCGGCTCCTTTTTGCGCACATCTCGTTATTCGTGCGGCCTTCCTTCTCTCAGCTACATAATGATACTTTTTATCAATTGTGAGACTTCCACCAACAGCAAAAGGATCTCATGTTTTTGTGGTTTGTTTATGTTCACAAGCACGTTCTCTCTCACGGATTACTAAACAGCCGTTTTGACAAGTTATCAGATTGTCTAAAAATAGGTCGTTTTTTAATTTAGCATAACTCCGCTTTTACGTTGCCTATTAACACAATTTAAAAACTGGGGTGTAGTTTATAAGCTCCTTTTTAAAGCTGAATTGAAACCGAAACTCAGGGAGGCGAAGTCTTGCTGCTACAGCATCTCAAATCAGACCTGTTCAAAAGACGCCGATACCCGACCGGACCCCAGAGGGTTAAAACTAAACATATCTCCCATATTTTTCTGTGTAAAGTGTGTTTCTGGTTCAGGTTGATGCTAGTTGCCAATCCAAAACATCAGAAGAACTTACCTTTTATAGGTTTGACCTTCCTTCAAGAGAGCAGTGGACACCAGATGAACGGTAGTTGGATGTAGCTAGGTAACCAGAAATAGTTGCTTAGTTCTGTAGAATTTTTTTTGTTTACTTTTAACTTTGACTTAATTCATTTAAAAATGATACACCAGTTCAATTCGAGTGACTTTTATTGTAATTCTTCAGTTAATCAGTGATCAGTAATCATGCTGCAACTCTTACATCACATTTCTCAGAAAACAAACACAAAAAACAAAGGGAGCAAAATTGTTTATTAGCACTTCAAACAATTACAGTTCTGAACTCCTGTGTTTGCTGTGGAAAGGTTGCACCTTTATCGTTATATTTTCATTTCTTGCCAGCTCATGGAAAGAAAATAAGTTTCAAAATCTGAAACTGTCTTAAAAATCAGGCATTTTTGGAAACAACAGTCATGAAAAATGTCTGCAAAATGCTGGAGTCACTGATAGAGTATTATTAATGCTGCTAATCGTGCAAATTGTGTTCTGTTCAAACCGAGGATGAATGAATGAACAGACTATGGATTCAACAGTGGTGAAATCCACACATCAAAGCAGCGCATCGACAAAACGAACCAACACATCAGCAGTAGGCTACAGTGAACACACACATGAGTGTGTGAAAGCATCAGATGCATTTGATGTGTGCACTAGCATACCCTAAAACATTCTATAGATTTCTCAAACACACCCATGCACACAGACAGCCTTGGGTGTCAGAGTCCTTCAGCCCTCCTGCTTCTCCAGGTACAAGGTCTTCACTGAAACAGACGCTCATATTCATGATCCACAGCAGACTTTGCGTCACACCTATCAGTCAGCTAGGACGGTGAGTATTAAGGACATTGTTGTGGAATTTCTTTTAGAGACTTAATAAAATAATGAGAAATTAGTCCATGATTCAATTAAAAGGGTTTAATTTCAATATTGCAATATCGAAATGAGGAGACAGTCACAGAGGTTCTTCCCAAAGCAGCAGCGTCCTGCTCATATATATGCACACACACACACACACACTCACACACACACACACACACACACACACACACACACACACACACACACACTATATATATATATATATATATATATATATATATATATATATATATATATATATATATATATATATATATATATATATACATATATACATATATATATATATATATATATATATATATACACACCGTATATATATACCGTATATATATATATATATATACGGTATATATATATATATATATATATATACGGTATATATATATATATATATATATATATATATATATACACACCCACACATATATATGTATTTATATATGTATATATATACATATACTGTACATATGTAAATATGTATATATACATACATACATATATATATATATATATATATATATATATATATATATATATATATATACCGTATATATATATATATATATATATATATATATATATATACGGTATATATATATATATATATATATATATATATATATATATATATATATATATATATATATATATACCGTATATATATATATATATACCGTATATATATATATATATATATATATATATATATATATATATATATATATACGGTATATATTTATATATATACACATATTTACACTCAACAAAAATATAAACGCAACAGCTTTGTTTCTGCTCCGATTTTTCATGAGATGGACTTAAAGATCTAAAATTCATTCCGGATACACAATATTACCATTTCTCTCACACATTGTTCACAAATCAGTCTAAATGTGTGATAGTGAGCACTTATGCTTTGCTGAGATAATCCATCCCACCTCACAGGTGTGCCACATCAAGATGCTGATCCGACATGAGTAGTGCACAGGTGTACCTTAGACTGCCCACTTTTTGGGTCGCAGCTGCTCGCAGCGCCACTTCAACAGTGCGATACCCTCACGAGGGACGAGCAAAATATCAAACACGCCAGAAGTCAGTGCGAGCTCACGATTGCTGATCGGTAGCTGGTCACGTGGTGTTAATCGCCTCTCGTAACCCCCTGTACACTACACGACGCTCAGCGCTAAACTCGCCCCGCTCTCGTGGATTCTCGCACGAGTGGAAAATCGGCTCAAAAGTGAAAAAGTCACACCGTGTACGCCCGGCTTAAGAGGTACCCTGGAACGTTAGCTGGTACCATATGATGTCACAATGTCTTTGTGAGCCTGTGTGTGTGTATTTGTTAGAGGCTCCGCCCTCTCGGTCTGCTAACAGCATTTGTTGCATTTTTCAACCAGGAAGTGGAAGTTGAGTAAGAATCTGCTAGGGGGTGACTTGCTCTTTAATCGTACCCCCCAACACACACACAACCTTTGCTCCCGCTGTATAAAAAATACAAATGCTCTTTTTCACATAATTCTGATGCACAACCAAAGTCCCACACTCGTCACAACATTCGTAAGGATGAGAGCTGAAATGTCTGTCAGGATCTGTTGTGCAGCGGGCCGCCTGGCATCAAATACACAGTGCTGTGTTTACCAGCACATTCTGGAGGCCACACGTTGAAAAAAAAAACACTTACATTGAAATAAATAATTACACTGATACTTCTTTAATTTACTAGTCAGATGTAAGCAGAAGCGTCACGGCGGACTGACCTGTTGATGGTCTCGGTTCAGTTTGCTGTGCCGTGATTCCCGGCTCAGAGCTTTGATGCGTTCCAAGATTTACATAACCGAGGATAAACTGCTCCTATGCTGTGCTCTTTGTTAGCTGCTGCATCTTTGGGATGTGTCGTTCACGAACGAATCGAATCTTTTGAACGGGTTTTCAAAGTGAACGATGAGAGCCGAGTCCCTGTAGAGAGCCGTTCATCTTGTCTTCCGGTAACAAACCTCCCCGGAAGTCAGTCAAGCGCACCCGCTCAAAGCCCACCCACCGCTGTGACGGACGCAGGAGGAACCCTAACCAACCCTGTGCGCCATCACGTTGCTCTCAAGGTTGGTTTATGCTTGACGCGTCCGCGAGGTCCGCACGGCTCCGCGCGGAAAAGTTGCGTCATTTTGCGTCATTTTAACAACCACACCCCTCCACCGCGCCTCCGCACGTCCCAGAATTTCCGCAATGGGCACCTCGGAAAATTTCTAACCACGCGGACGGACGGACGCGGAAAAACATGGCGGACCGGCAAGAACTAGTATTGCAGAGGTTCGTAAATACAGACATTTGTATGATTCAGCTCTCAGAGATCACCGTGATCAACATGTTGTTAATAATTCTTGGAGAGAAGTAACTCGCACTGTCGGAAAAGACGAGAACGCTGTTAAAATTGCTGAAATGCCATGTTGTAAACAGTAATGTCTACTTCTACTACAGTGTAGTGTTGGATGCATGCCCTAGAGCTCCATGCTGCCCCGTTCAGTTTGGGAGAATATTGGCTCACCGCAGAGACAAGCCGCACAAACCATAAACACTGCGAGTTGTGAAGCTCGTTCCATCCGCGAGCCGCATCACCACGCGGAAAGTGAATGCGTCAAGCATAAACCAAGCTTCAATACCCCCCTCCCCCCCACACACACACACACACTTGGCTTCACTTCGTTCAAAGGAGCTAGTCTTTTGAACGGCTCTTTCAGGTAAATGACCGACTAATGAACGGCTCCCATGAGCTCACTACTGCTTCAGTTGTTGTCCAGTAAACATATTTTGATAGCAGCAACTTTGCGCCCTCTAGTGGCACAATATATATCACACCCAAGCGCAGCAGAAAGACATGAAGCAGGTCAATAACCAGTTAACTATGTACAAGGAAGCAGGTGAGTTGTCTCTCTCTCTTTTACCTGCACGCCTCTTTTGCACACTCCCTCTATCTGGTGGTAGTCGTCCTCGGTGCAGAGTGGGCAGGTGCTGGCGCTCTCCCACAGGAAGTGAAACGTGCATCCATCACATGTTCCTGCAGGACGCCAGCTGCACGAAAACTGGCCACCCACAGAAGGGTCAGAAATAATAGTGCATGATTTATTATTTGTTTATTTTTTGTTATCTAAAGATGCGAAAATGCCTGCAACAAATTCACATGAATAAATAATAAATAAAGATGGTCATGTGCTGAAGACAGATTTGTGTCGGAAATTCCAGTAAAAACAGCAGCTTTTCTCCACGAGACTAAACATAAACAATAATAAATGAAAATTACTGCTGGTTTTAAATGTTTGGTGTTGTTATTAAACAATAAAGCTAGAATCTTACAGCTTAAAACTAAAAGCAACGTTCCTATAATTTCATTTCCTGAGACAAACGTACCTGGGTACGGAGAGTTCCCCTCGCTCCGACTTTTCCGGGCTACAGCGAACTGTGACGACAGAACTTCGACCCTGATCACATGACGCTGTGGCCTGTGTTGACCTGCAGAAATATTCAAAACACTTTTAGGAAATATGGACAAAAGCACTCAAGATGTTCTTCGTGTTGCAGGGGCGTGTCCAGGGCGTGGCCTGGGGTAGCAAATGCCACCCATGGAATCTGACTGACCACCCCAGGTGCCACCACACTGAATTCCCTTCAAATAGGCTTTTCATTGTCCACAAAAGGCTTGGGGTGAAAAAATATAAATGCATAACCATCGGTGCCACCCATGCACAAAGTAGTGCCTCACCTGGGCCACCCCATTTTAAAAGATCTGGACACGCCACTGTCGTGTAGTCTCTACTAGGGTTGTCATTGTGTGAAAATGTAACCTCGCGGTTATTGTGACCAAAATGATCACGGTTTTCGGTATTATTGCGGTATTTTTTTAAACATGTTACATTTTCACACAACTAAATAAACCCTGTATCAGGAAAATATTGTCCTTAGTTTGAGTCTAAATTTTGCCTAAAATGTGTTAGTTTGTAATTATGTGGTTTATTTGTTTACATATTTCCCCTTTAGTCTTTAAAATACCAATATTTGCCCATAACTTCTTATTTTTTGTCTGTTTGATATCATCATTTTAAAAATATTAGATCAGATGATACTCAGTACTCAAGTAGCCTTCTAATCAGATACTTTTTTACCCTTACTTAAGTAATAAGCCCTATATCAGGAAAACATTGTCCTCGGTTTGTGTCCTTCCAGTGAGCTTTGCAGATTTGGGAAAATGTCATCAGGCAGTAATCATTGTTAAATTCATAATTATTCTCGGAGAGACCAACTCTTTTCTGCCCCTGGGAGCCCCGTAATGCATAGCGTCATTTAACCTGTAGAAGAAGTTGATGTCAGGAACATCATGTAGATTTTCCAGGAACAGGTCCAGTTTGGCATTTACTCCATTTAGAACAGGATCCACCGTTGCTCCTGAAAACGGAAAAACATTTACGGTGTCTTTTACTACCTGATCATCACTAACCACATCACGGCCGTCCAACACAGGACATACCGATGAAAGTGTCTGCCAGGCTGATGGACTGGGAGGAAATGGCCATCCTGAAGCCCCGCCCATCTGCTGGGATGATGGTTGATTGACAGATGAAACTGTCCACCGCGTTGACAAACTCAGGTCGCTCTGGTCGTCTTTGCTTGACACGTTGGTGACGTTGTTGGTGCAGATGGTGGCTCGTTTTCCCTGAGAGGACACGAGAGTCGTCCTTCAGTTTGTAAAGTTACAAAAACCTGCAGCTGAGAAAAAAGCTTCCACCAGAAACAATGGAGGACATTCCGGAGTGTACGTCCGTGTAAAAGTTTGACATGATTCCTATTTTACTCCCTGCAGACATCTTATTGAACAGTCTATGTTCAGAGAAATAGAGTTGACATCCTACAGGACTGATGAGCTAACGGCTAGACTAAATCAACCAAGACAAAAATGTTTTGCTGCCATTTTAAAACAACTCCTGTTGCTGCATTTTCACCGTCATTATTTCTGCAGGAATGTCATGACGTTCTGTAACCCCCCTGGAAGGGCAACGTCCCAAAGAAATAACCGGACAAAAGAGGGAATGTTTGTAAAATAGCATTTATTAGAACTTGTGTGAAAAGTTGGTGACTAGAGCTGTATGAGGAGTAAAGAATCATGGTGCCGGTACCTACCTACGACCAGTCAGGTAGGGATTATTATTATTTGTAGCTTTCACACAGAAACTCGTTTCAAAATGGCTGAAAAAACGTCTAACAGACGCAGAAGAATTTGGTAATCATATACTGAACATTTTGTTTGTGTTTATGGTGTTTACTGTATGCAGATTGTGGTACTGGAGATTTATGACGGGTCGGGTGAACTAGGTGAGCTGGCCCACATGTGTGTGTGTGTGTGTGTGTGTCAAATAGATAAATGTCTAATTTATTTGCATGTATTTAAAGTCTAGTGTTTGCTGAAGTGGAGTTACCTCATGGCCACAGAGGCTGACGTTAAACAGGTGGAGGTACTTTGTGCCTTTGGAGGTGAAGCTTGGCCCGATGACCAGAGAACCTACATCGCTCATGGGACTGAGGTCAAATGTCAATGTCCGGTTGTTCTCCGTGTAGGTGAAAAAGCAGTTGCTGTAGCAGCGGGAATGTTCCTGAATAAAAACGGGGCAGCCGTGAAACACAGAGACCAGAGACGATGGTGACATAATGGTAATAAAGACTCCAGCGTTTGTGGTTATTCATTAATTGGCTCTGACTCACTCTTTTTATTTATTAGTGATATTCTGCTTTGACTCTTAACTCTAATTTATACCTTATTAGATCCATAAAACACATTTATTTATGCATTCATTAAAGGGAATTTACGGACTTTTGAATTTTTATGCTCGCGATTGCCCCCTCAGGCCAAAAGCGTAACGGCGTCTTCAATAGTAGGCTCGTGCACGAGGCGTGCATGCTGTACGTGCACACTCAATGAAAATAACAGCTGAGACAGTCCCGTGTCTGTGTGTGTGTGTGTGTGTGTGTGGGGGGGGGGGGGGGTGGCCCGGAGGACAGAGGACAGAAGAATGCGAATCTAATTAATTAAATAATTTGGTTCTGTACCTTTCTCTTCAGCACAGCCGACAAAGGTTTATGATGGGTCAGTCCTCCTGCATGCTCAGATCATTCCCTTCCCTTGCTTGAAAAATTGTTCCAAAATGAAAGTTGAACCCACATCTTTTTTATCTGTGAATTCAATGCCGTTCGGCGAGTCTCAAATAAAAATTTGGGCATCTTACTGTAAAAGAATATACCATTAATATAAAAAAGAAACTCTGAATAAACTATGTTCACATCCAGAATCAAACCCAGGTCTTCTGCATTGGAGTCAGACATCTTACTAGGTGAGCTACACACCAGTAACATTTACAGTGTCTGTAACATTTATATCCTTGATGACAGCTGAAACAACGTCAAACCAAAGAACAGTTTGGAGCGAAAATGGCTATTTTGTTGCTAATTTGCAGGAAATATCTAGAAGAAAGTTCTACAGAAAGTAGCTAAGGGTCCTCAGAAATGTAGCTAGCTTTGTCACTAGGCGTTAGGAACAGCGACAAAGCGGCACTGCCTCTCTCTCTCTCTCTGATAGATAGATAGATAGATAGATAGATAGATAGATAGATAGATAGATAGATAGATAGATGATAGATAGATAGATAGATAGATAGATAGATAGATAGATAGATAGATAGATAGATAGATAGATAGATAGATAGATAGATAGATAGATAGATAGATAGATAGATAGATAGATAGATAGATAGATAGATAGATAGATAGATAGATAGATAGATAGAAATTTCAGATGATCTATAAGAGGTTTGTTGTCTGGAAACATTTGATTAATAACTACCCAATAGTCTTCATTTCATTGCTTGTGTCATTGCACTCAAAACTGTTGAACATCTTGTCAAACAACTTGTACACCCATTTTGAAAACCCTATTTTTAAGGAGTTTCCATGGAAATCTCCATAAATTACTGTTCTCAGATGAACCTTATCTCACACTAATGAAAATTTGTGTGTGTCCTGGTAACAATTGGACAATGTATGTAATGGTTTGGGATAATGTTAGCTTCCATCACTCTGCTGTAGTCAGGCAGTGGTTTGCAGCACACGACAGGCAGGCAGTGGTTTGCACAGGATGCTTATGGAATTCTTCCTCCTTAAACTCCATTCCTAAATCCAATTGAGGAGTTTTTCTCTGCCTGGAGGTGGAAGGTATATGACAGGCATCCACACACCCAAATGGCCCTACTAGCAGCCATGGATGCAGCTTGTGATGACATCACAGCAGAGTCCTGCATAAGATGGATTTGCCACTCCAGGAGATACTTTCCTCGCTGCATTGCGGGGGACGACATCCGTTGTGATGTAGATGAAAATATGTGGCCAGACAGACAGGAACGTCTGGATGTGCCAGAATGATTTACTGTACCTGTATGTTACAGTACTGTGCAATACTGTATGTACTGTTACATGTACTGTATATTGTTCACATTTGTGCACAGCTCTACCAAAAGGGTGATTTTATGTTTACATGTATTCTACAGTAAACAAGTGACTGTAGCATATTTTTCTTTTGCACAATGCTGTAGAATTACAAACACTTCTATACAGTAAAAATGTAAAACGTACATATTCAGTGTCTCAGTTACTCCCAAAACTCCCATAACATCTATAGTAACTTTACTGCACATTCCAAATGGCTGTACAAGTAGGGCATAGTGCTGTCTTGAGCATTTTCAGGTGTCACCAAATATTCTTGCAATGGAAAACACTGAAATTATAAACTGTCATGGTGAAAACATGACAAAGCCATTTGACTATGTTGTTCATAGAGATGGTGTCAAGACTTTTCATTTTGATAGCACTGACAGTTTCATTGACATGAATACTTGCTTTTGAGGAATGGATTATCAATTTTGAGCATGTGACGTGCTTTTGCAGGCTATCCACTAGGTTTTGCAGTTTGCACTAATTGTTTTGAGAAAGGCACTAACTGCTGTGCAAATGTTAATAGTGTTCTGAGAAACGCACCAAAGCGACTGAGAAAAACTGTAATAAAGCTTTGTACCAAAAATTATGACTTCAGTTGAATTTTTCATGTATTTTTTAGGGGCACATGGCTGCCATGTTTGACAGGATGATGTAATGATTATGATCATCCACCAGATGGCAGCGGAGAGCTATGACAGACAGCTAGATAGATAGATAGATAGATAGATAGATAGATAGATAGATAGATAGATAGATAGATAGATAGATAGATAGATAGATAGATAGATAGATAGATAGATAGAAATTTCAGATGATCTATAAGAGGTTTTTTGTCTGGAAACTTTTAATTAATAACTACCCATTTGAGACATTAACAGTTCTAATTAAGACTAGCTTAATTACAACATTGACTTTGTTGCACATAATCCATAGTTCATCAGTAATTTGCCAACATTTATTAGTTTATTTTTAGTCTGATGGAAAAGTTTGACATCATTCTGTTAATCCAGATTAATCTCCATGACGTAACTGCACCTTTATCTACTTCATTAATAAAACTTTGTACCAAAAATTATGACTTCAGTTGAATTTTTCATGTATTTTTTATGGGCACATGGCTGCCATGTTTGACAGGATGATGTAATAATTATGATCATCCACCAGATGACAGCGGAGAGCTGAACCGGATAGATGATAGATGTGGCACTGCCTCTCTCTCTCTCTGATAGATAGATAGATAGATAGATAGATAGATAGATGATAGATAGATAGATAGATAGATAGATAGATAGATAGATAGATAGATAGATAGATAGATAGATAGATAGATAGATAGATAGATAGATAGACAGTCATGTTTTTGGACTGTGGGAGGAAGCCGGAGTACCCGGAGAGAACCCACGCATGCACAGGGAGAAAATGCAAACTCCATGCAGAAAGATCCCAGGCCAGGAAGCGAACCCAGGACGTCCTTGATGCAAGGCAACCGCTCTAACCACTGCGTAGCCTGCATCCATGTCATTTTAGCCATTTAGAATAGAACATTTTAGCCTCCTTGTCTTAATGAAGCTTAAAAAATCTTAATCTTTTTAATAAACATTTTGGGAATTATAATATTATGAAGGAGAATGAGGAGGATTTGAAGGAGATGAACCTGGATTAATCAGGACATTGTGACATGATGCTCACACTGTCACACAAAGATAAAAGACTTCCTTAGTAGAAAGACTATCTAATTTCTTCTAAACACAATTACTTTAATGACAATTTTGAGTTCTATGCTGGCAATAAACAGAACAGGACTATATTTCCAACTATAGTAAGGAATAAAGGGAAGATGTGAAGTTGCTGCCGTCCAGTGGCTGTATTTTGTAACATTTTGTTTTCATTTTAGCCATTTAGAATGGAGTATTTGAGCCTCCTTGTCTTAGTGAAGCTTTACAAAATTTAAATAATTTTGGTAAACATTTTAGGAACTATAATTATATGATGGAGAAGGAGGAGGATTTGAAGGAGAAGATGAATCTGGATTAGTAAAGGAAAATACTCATTTAAGAAGAAACACTTTTATCGGAATTCTTCTAAACACAGTTTTTTTTTCTTAAACAAAATTACACAAGCATTCACATCCAGTGCAACCTGAAATACAGCTCATTTTGCAGGTAATATAAGTGTTTGATAATTAAACTTTATTTTTTGTAAAGATCAGCAGGTCTGCTGCTGCTCTAGTGATCCACACATAGTAGCACAGAAACTGCACCTGTGCAGTCACACACACACACACACACACACACACACACACACACACACACACACACACACACACACACACACACACACACACACACACACACACACACACACACACACACACACACACACACACACACAATTTTGCACAATACTTATATGTGTGAGTATGTCTATACACCAATAGCAAACATATCATCCTTGGTGAGGGTTGAATGTGAGGAAGCGTCATAATGAGTGGACATGTTTACCTCCATCTAGTGGTGGCAAAAGCCCATTACACTCTGCTATGAAACAAAGAATTGGTGCTGATCTCCGCCGACTTCAGAGGTTCTGAGTAAACTCATGTGGATCAACACCTGATTTAGTCTGAGACCTGTAACTCAGTGTTCAGTGTGACACTTGGGTCAGCGAAAGCAACAATGGTTCAGAACCAACGTGGTGACGATGAGGTCCTGCTCTGCTGGTTTCTTCTCCGCTCCTTCCCAACACTTTGCCTTGTGGTCATTTATAATCTAAATTAACAAACAGAAAGTTTGTAGTGATGATGTCAGATGAGAAACAAGAAACACAGAAGCAAATGAAAGGGAATGCACATGTTTGACCCTAATTAAAACCATGATTCTTCAGAAAAGGTGCTCATGACCATTCTGAAGAGCTGTAAAATATTTCATAACAATTTCTACTGTTGCTGAAAACATTGTATTACTGTAACACAAGTTTGAATAGTTATCACCCATCAAAAGGTGGACCATACAGTTTCTGTCTGTGTGTGTTTGTCTCTTAGTGAAATCTTAAACTGCTGAACAAAGGTCAAAGGATGAACATTCAGAAATAAATATTTATCTGTACATCAGTCAACTTGGTTAAAGATGGCCGCCACCACTGCTTCTGAAACACTCGGTGAACTGTGCCGATGTTGAGGGCATATCTAAACATAATCTTACTAATCTAGAAGTATGTGTCACAGTAGTAATGGACAGCATTGAGACAATGGAAACCATGTAAAACACAGCTGGTTTCTGTCTTCACCAAACATGCTCAGTGACAGATTTGGATTTATAATAAAAACCTTTATTTTCAAGAATAACATTTTAGACTGTCTAAACTCTTCAGCATCTAGTTCCATGGGGTCAAATTTGGCCACTGTTAATTGCCGCTGCTTCAAAATGTACAAAGAAAACAAAAATGGTCAAATTTATCTTCTAAATCCCAAAGTGCCACTTCTGACCCCTGCATAGGGACATCTAGTGGATATGACATGAGCCAGAGTGGTAGTTTGAAGATGGCTGACCTCATGCTGTTTTGTTGAGCTGGAAACTTTCCCCCCAAAAAATCGTCTTCTTGGCTAATCAAAGGTGGGTAAAATTGTGTTTTATTTGTTAATTTACTTTGTAATAAGTTGCAGAATGCCTAGAAAAATGTTTTATGTTATTTTTGTAAAAATGAGCCACTCTGAGCTAGTTTAAAAAACGATTGGTCAAAAACGACTCTCCGGGTGTATGGGTTAAAATTGTTGGGTCAACAATGACCCTTTGGTTCTTTGAGTGTCATTGTAGATGGAGAATGGTTACAGTCCTGTACTTGACACAAGCCTTGAAATAAATTAATTTGTGTAATACATTTTACTAAGTTACCTAAGTAGTACAGGGTCAGAGACTAATAAAGTAAATATATCTTTTCAGGGAGTATGGCTGCTCCCTTTTCAGGGCAGGGAAAGCACCAGAGAAATTTCCCTGCACAACAAGTTTTGGATCAACTCGAAGCTGATGATGGTGACTTTGGCCCTGAGCTGGACAGCGACAGCGATTCTGATGAATTGTATCAACCCATGAAATTGATAGAGGTGGATCCTCTGCCGAAGACAGTAACTCATCCAATCACTCATCCAGTGATGAAGATGTGCCATTTGCTGAGACTGCTAGCGTACAGATGGAGCCAAATGGTGCCGTAAAAACGTGTAAATGGTGAAAGAAAGGCTTTGAGTTGCCTGATGTGAACTTTCTTGGTGAACAAGTTGAGTCGTACCAGGATGCCATAACAGACACGCCACTGGTTTACTTTTGGTGCTTTGTTTCCCTTGATATGTTGGAAAATATTGTTGAGCACACCAATCAATACAGTATTCAGAAGCATGAGAAATGTGTTGACGCTTCAGTAAAAGAGAAAGAACAAGTTCTTGGACTGTATCTCAGGATGGGATTAGTTCAAATGTCTGGAGTATGTCAGAACTGTGAAAACGAAGTTCGTTATGGGCCTGTGGCCGACATAACGAGTCGCAACCGATTCAGCCAGCTATCTCTGTCATTAACTTTGTAGACAACGAAATGACCAGTGAAGAAGTAAAAAATGGTCGACTGTGGAAACTAAGACAATTTTTGAATTTTTTTCGGAGACAATGTTTGACTATTGCACCACGCCAAAAACAGTGCATCGATGAGATGATGGTGCCGTACAAAGGAAAATTTGGTGGCATAAGGCAGTACATCAAAGGGAAGCCACATCCATGGGGATTCAAAGTGTGGGGGCGCTGCTGTGTCACTGGCTTCCTGCACGATTTTGATATATATCAGGGAAAAGGAGGTGCCAATGAGCAAAAAGGGAAGAGTCAGTTGGGAGTTGGTGGAGACATTGTGGTGAAGCTATGCGACTCGCTTGCAGAGAAAATACATTTCCTGATTTTTGCTGACAATTTCTTCACTTCAGTGCCCCTCATTGAGAAATTATTGGCAGAGGGAATCTACTACACAGGAACTGTTCGAAAAAACCGCATGTCAAAGTGCACCCTGATGACAGACAAAGACCTGTCCAAGAAAGGCTGTGGATCATATGATCACCGAATCAAGTCCAACACCAATACTGTGTTTGAAATGGCAAGACACAAAAGCAGTCACTTTGGTGTCAGCATATGCTGGACCAGAGCCTTTGGGAAAAGCCCGCTGCTGGGACAAGTCCAAAAAAGAGTACATCAACATTGATCAGCCAAACATCATCAAGGAGTAAGTTTCAGGGTTTGGTTGCTGAAGGCTTGGTTCAAGTTGGAACAGCAAGAAGTCGGGGTAGGCCAACAACTTCTGGCCTCTCCTCCCCGCCACCACAAAAATTTGTTCGAGTTTACAAGAATACAGATTTTCATTTCGACCAAATCGCCCATTGGCCTGTCAAGGAGGAAAATCGCTGTCGATGTGCTGTGTGCAAGGATCTCAAATCTGAAATGCACTGTGAAAAATGTGCTGTTGCACTCTGCATCAATAAAAAAAGAAATGGCTTAAAAGACTACCACAATGTAGTGTGAGTTCATGGATAAGCAAATGCCCGAGGTTTGCGTTTTTTTTCACCACAAAAATTAGTTTGCATTTACAAGAGTTGCAGATGTTCGTATCGACCAAATCGCCCATTGGCCTGTCAAGAAGGAATATTGCCATCATTGAACTGTGTGCAAGGACCTCAAAACTGATGTGCAGTGACTGTGAAAACTGTGCCTCATGTTCTTTTATTTCAAACTGAATGCAGTTCTGACTTGCAACAAGTAAAGAAAAAAACTTGTTAAATGTAAGTAAAGAAGAAAAAAAACTTGTTAAATGTAGCTGTGTGGTTGGTTTATTTACCTAACTTTAAAATAGTTTACACTGACAGTGTTTGTTATTGTGATTTTTTTAAACGATATGCCTAAAGCCCAATGGGTCAAATCTGACCCAAATCCTAAATCAGGGAATAAAGGGTTATAATTGAAAAAGTGGATATTTTGGTGTTCAGTGAACTTATATAAGTCATTTAATGCATAGTTCATAATTTTCCAAAGAAGGCAATGGTTCTTGGGTTCTTCAGGGTTAAGGGCCTTCAGCCGCTACAGAGACAAAATCCTCTGATGCCAGTATCACTAATGACTGATGCAAACGACCGTTTTCAGGGTTAGTCACTGTGGGTTAGGTGTGGGTGGATTTTGTTAGGATTAGGGATTAGGGTTTAGGTGAATCTCTCACAAGCTTCCAAAAGATGCCAAGTCAAAAAAAGACTATAAAGATGCTGATGAGTAAATGTGACTAATTGTGTGTATACTTACAGCTATCCTCCACCTCCGAAAACATGCCAACAACATAGCAGGAATAAACCAATCCCAAGAGCTGTGAGGATGAACACATGAACATACGATCATGTTAGACCCCCTAAACATGTGTGATCAAACACAGCATCATACAAAACCTGGGACTGCTGTTGTGTGATATTTGTAATTATAATATGAAAACCAATTTACTATAAATGGCCATAAATGACTATTCTATTCTATTCTATTCTATTCTATTCTATTCTATTCTATTCTATTCTATTCTATTCTATTCTATTCTATTCTAGTATATTCTAGTTGTCCACATTTTACAATCAGAAACAAACAACAGTGGTCATTAGTAAAACAAACGTTTTTGTTTTTTTGTTCATTCTGAATCTGTGATTTTGTTGTGTTTTCTTAAGTTTCCTTTTCTCATTTAGTCACAGTTGAAATCCCTCGGAGGTCCTCTTTTCTCATTATGGAGCATTTTATTATTGATGTCACTCAAAGTTTTTTAAGGAGCAGCTACAACTACATGCATACATACTATTTACGGATTCTTGTTCTCATTATGGAGGATTCTACTTTGATTGCTTTTTACGCTTTTCTATCTGTTATCTGTAGAAACAGCTGTTGATGGAACAGCTGTATATGCATTATGTAATGGGGTATGTCTTCTATAGCGCTTTATTTAACCTAATTCTTCTTAATAAGCAAACCCTGATCTTTGGTTTTGTCATCTTTCCCCTTGGTTCGTAATCGTTTTCCCAAATCTAAACACTCACTGAGATGAGAAGCTGGACAGTGCAGTGCAGGACTTCTATGTACTGGTATTCCAACCAGCAGCTGGGTACTGTGGTCAGCTCTGGATTCTGGGGGTTCTGCCACCCATCAGAGAGAAAGCTCTCACCCTGACATCCTGGCCCGTTGTCCTTCCACCAGGAGTGATGTGATGACACTCCCAGGGAGAGAATGTGGCTGTCCTGCAGGACATTAAATTAAATGTTACTTCATGGTTGGTTGAAAAGATCCTGAGTTATAATTAGTTTCAGATGCAACTGCAAAATTCAGGACGTCAGATGCTTTGATGATTTTTTTGAGTTTTTGTTTCAGTAAAACAGCTCAAAACACACCATCATTGTTTATAAGATGTATAATTACGCCCCCAATTCTGGTTTTATTTTGCAGCACAGTTCTAAGATTAAGGGCATAGCTTTGTAAAGTTTCTCTTGTGATCAGTCCTGGGAGGTGCTCGTGACTCAGACTGAGTTAAACACAGGAGCTGTGTGATGGCAGCTGTCTCTAATTATTGGACTCTTGTGAGAACATAAGCCTTGCCTTTGAAAGTCCTCCCAAATCCAGGTAGAGACAGCTCACAAAGACGTTCCAGCCGATCCACAACACCGACCAAAGCTGGTACTGATGGATCAAAGACACAGAGACAATATCATGACCTGAATCTGCGGAGCACATAAACTTAGAATTTAAAGTTTAAGATTCAGTTCCTTGCCACGAGAATGTAACGTGTTCTGTACTGGATGGCACCAAATAGGCCCAGGATGACCATGATGATGTAGAAGAAGTTGATCATGATGGGAACCCACTGGTAGCCCAGGAAGTCCAACACCTGTCTCTCCACCGCGGTGATCTGGAATGATCAGAGCAATAAACGCATTTTAATCAAACCGTCTACCATCATCTTTGCTTTTGTGTGTGTGTGTTGCCAAGGTAACTGAGCTAAGGGGCAAAGCATGCTCAGTGGTCAGGTGGGAGTGGGTCGGTGGTGTGTGTGTGTGTGTGTGGGGGGGGGGGGGGCATTTATTTTGTGAACTGTTAGAGATTTTTATCAACATCTATAATTAAATGTGCTCTGAACACAGTTTGCAAAAAGTGATGTCTCTATTAACTTTTGACTTTTAAAAATGAAAACGTTGAGAAAAAGTTTTCAGTGAAGCTGCAAACATCAAGTCCAGAACAAACCTTACGATTAAACACACATTTTTATTTTACTCCACAGCCAGATGTTTTCAGCTGTTTATGTATTACATTTTTATTATCCCATGGTTGATAAGTTACAGAACCCCCTATTGTGATAAAACAAAATAATATAGAACCACCAGATCTGATCTGGGTTAAGCTGCTTTTGGTTATAATTTCCCCAAAAGACAGTTTCTTGTTAAAGCTTGAAAAGAAGACCCTAAAACACAGACAAAAACAATCTGCTATTTAGTTTCTTAAAATTAATCTTCAAATTGTGGTTTTACTCATTCTAGTGGTGACTCTCTCTCGAAGGGCAGAGACAGCAGCTGCTTTGGTGTGCAAACAGATGTGATTTTATTGGAGCATCATAAAGAAAATCATCTTACCAACTGCACACAACACAGGAGGATCAGTAAGCATCGTCCAGAGCAGCACCCCATCTTCCTCTCCTCTGGTTAGTCTGATGACGACGAGGAGATGCAGAGAGCCAATATCTGCTCAAACGCACAAAATCAAATATTTGCCGTTTAAAATTCACTCCCAAACACAAGATGGAAACACAGAGTCCACGTTACCTCTAGAGGACAACACAGTGGGCTGTCCCTGCATGGGGGGGGGGGGGGGGGGGGCTGGCGTATGAAGGGTAATTCATGCCACAGCAGGGGAGGAACTCTGGAGCAGCATCACAGTCCTGCTTTTTTCTCACACATGTCTGCACCGCCCACCAGAATTATGATTATTTTTGTTCATTTTGGAGACGCTTTTCTCCAAACAGCTCACACATCGTCTGAACCTGTGCTGAGGGAGAAAGCTGGAGCAACCGGAGAAAACCCACACCTGCACAAGGTGAACATCCTAACTCCAGTCAGAAGAAACCCAGCAGGGATTTGAACCGGTAACCTTCTTGTTGTGTTTAACTAAGCCACCATGCAGCCAAATATAGTCTCTAACATTTTCATGAAAGTAGCTCAAATTTATGAAAACAGTTTAGCTTTAATTTGCATTTTCATATGCTTACAAAAAACTATAAACAAAGTTCTGGTGCATCCACAACATTAGTGTTCAGCTGTTTATCAGTGAGATGAAATGCGTGTTATTTTTTTGACGATGAGACACATGTAACTAAATTTCACACAAAGGACAAACATCCTACTTTTGGCTTTTATTGAGAATACAACAAATTATCTATGCTACATATTTGAAGTGAGAAAAGTTCATATAGAAATCACATGTCTAGTACTTTAATATTTAAATGTGTGTGACTGTTTGTCTCAGTGTGTCCCTGTGATGGACTGACCTGTCCATGGTGTCCCCATCATTCTCCTGATGATTGCTGGAGTACTAGCACTAGCTTACTATCACTAGCTCTCCATGACGCTAAGTTCAGATGATGGATGGGCGATAACTGGTCTGTGTAGCATCTCATAGGGGTCTACAATCCCCCAAGGTGCTTCACAACACAGTCATCCACACATTCACATGCTGGTGATGATGAGCTACGATGTAGCCACAGCTGCCCTGGGGTGCACTGACAGAGGCGAGGCTGAACTCGCTCTGCCTCCTGAGTTGCTGTTCCTGGATGGATGGATGGATGGATGGATGGATGGATGGATGGACTTCATTTAGTGCTTGTGTAAAGCTGACTCAGCTGTAAGAGAGGTAAAGAGAAGACAGTAAACCTTTAGAGATCACCTCCATGACTCCTCACGAGTCCTCCTCAGCATGGCATGAACTGACCCTCATACAGCAACAGCGTCCTCTTCCTCCTGATAGGTGGCTCTGCTCTTCTTCAGTGCTCCGAAAACTCCAGCAGGTGGTGACAGCAGTGAAGGCAAATGCTTTTATGTGATTGGTGGAGAGCAAATTAGAATAACACACCATAGGCCTGACATGGTGTTTATAGATTTTAATTAAAACTAATGTGTTTCTGAGTGAAAGGTTCTGGTTAGCGCTGTAGAAACAGGACAACATAATACAACAGGAATCATTTACAATATTATGTTTCCTCCTTCCTGTTGGAAGAGACTGCCAGGATTCATAATTACGCATTAAAATTATTCAAAGAGAAATGTCTGATTATTTCAAAACCTCAGCCTTTGTGCTTATTTAGACTCTAAAGTCCTATTGGACTAAACTGCTCCCAACATCTGGACCAACAGTCTTCTACACTTTGGATCCACCTTTCACAGACCAGAGAGGATGCTGCAGGGACTAAGCTGGACTCAAAGCATCCAGAACAACACTACCCCATTCTTCCTAAGGGGGGCGCTAGAATGATAAAGGCTAAATCATAATTGGTGGGGTCTCCAGCTCTGCCCGTGTCACATGGAAGAACGGTAGCTGAGCGGAGGGGATGCGAGCAGTGATGGAGAGGGTCTGAGGGTCTGTAGGACGGACCTGGACACGCCACAGCAGCAGCGGGGACGCGGATCTCTTCTCAGCCCCTCTCTTGGCTGGCTGGAGGGTGGGGGAGCGCGGACTGGGGCGCAAGAGGGGGTCAGAGGATGCCACATGCACTGATGATGCATTCGTGTTGTGTAAAGCCCAGCGAAGCCGACTTGTCCCCTTTTGGTTGATGATGTTCCGGACGGGGAAGCAGAAGCTGAAGGAAGGATGCTGCGCTCCCCAAAATCTGTGATCTGAGTGAGTCCACGGCTGCTATAGCGCAATGCTCTGTGTGACAGGAAGGGGTGGGGGGAGGTCATTTATATGTACCTATAGATTGCTGCGTGTGTCTCTTTGTGCGCCCTGTCTTTTCTCCCTTTGCTCTGCCGGTCATACAATTAACACGCGCTTGTTTGCTCGCGCGCACACATAAACACACGTGCGCTCACACCTCAGCGTCACTGCATCGCCTGTACATGTTTTTTCCTAATTAAAATTGAAACCAGGGAAGTTGACTGTGATCTGGAACGAGGAAGCCTCTGGCCGTGCGTTTCCGCGCATCATAAAGATCATTAGAGCCTCCTTCAAAATGTGCCCCCTCCCCTCCCTCCTCCATCCCCTGTAATAAATGCGGGGACTGGTTTTTGTCGTGTAAGTTGCCAGCTGACCTCAGGGACATCCTTTACCATCTTCACTTTGATCTAAATATGAATCGGAAATGCTTTGATGATCAGAGGAGAAATAAAAGAGGGGGTCCAGGCTGCAGGCTCAGTGAGACCCTGATAAAAACACTGCTGCACCAGTCTGGGTTTTTCCTTCCTATTTTTCTGTCACCGCCTAGAGCCTCTACCTGCGTGGACACTGACTTACCCGCCCCACAGCATCAGCCTGCCTAGTGATTGTTGTTGTCATCTGGATCCATCTGAGTCCAGCTTTCTAACCTGTTGTCAGCATTGATGCAGTTGGAGGTGGCAGAGCCCAGAGGCGCGGTAAGCCAGGCAGCCCAACCTTCACCCTGTGTGTGATTGATACCTGCTGAGTATACCATCATGAGCATGACACACACACACACACACACACACACACACACACACACACACACACACACACACACACACACACACACACACACACACACACACACACACACACACACACACACACACACACACACACACACACACACACACACACACACTTAGATGATGATTCCAGTATCTTTGATGCCCTTGTTTCACAGGGTGCTTCATCACCCTGGGAAGGATGCAGTTCGTGTGATCAGCTGATATTAAATCTTCTCTGTGAATTGGTTCAATTTGTCAGAAGGCGTTTGTATGAGAGGTAGCAGCGCTCCGACACACACCAAGCCTCTTCCAAACGGGCGTCAGCTTTCTTCCTGACAGGGGCATGGTTAATCATTGTTGCAAGCAAACATTTGACCTAATTCACATTCTCACACAATAGCATGTATCCTCTCTCTCTCTCTCTCTCTCTCTCTCTCTCTCTCTCTCTCTCTCTCTCTCTCTCTCTCTCTCTCTCTCTCTCTCTCTCTCTCTCTCTCTCTCTCCCTCTCTCTCTCTTACCCCATCTTTCTCCCTCCCTCCTCCCAACACACACACACACACACACACACACACACACACACACACACACACACCCCACTGTTATTTGTGTCACATGGAGGGCGAGGATTTCGCTCCACATGAACTCCCAGGTGATTTAGCAGAACCTGAGCAGATTGCCGGGGAGGCTGAGCTGGCTGGGCCAGTTGAAACAGCTCCAGTTTTATTAATAATGAAAACACATGTAAATGCAGGCCATGTTCCTAGAAAACGTAATTCCTAACCACTCCTGGAGCCGTCATCCTCAAATGCATGCTTTTATGATGCTGTACTTCGTATAGTCATGGTGTTTGTACACACACACACACACACACACACACACACACACACACACACACACACACACACACACACACACACACACACACACACACACACACACTTCACAAAATGAGTACAGTTGTTGGTCCAATGTGATCTGATACTCCTGTAGCCTCTAAATGTGTTGCTCCAGACTCTGAAAACATTCAGAAAGTGAGACTGCATTTAAACCTGATTTAAACCAACAGTTTACCTGAAGCCAGGCTCATTTTTGGGGCCATAAAACATCAAAGAACATCTCTGTTTATTTAGATGTGTTGTTCAGTTTGACAGCCTAAAAATCCAGACAATCAATTTAAAAAGAACAGAAGATCAGACTTAGGTGGTTTAGAATAATCATGATTATTTTGGTCAAATTCACTGTTGTTCACGGAGCTTTATTTTTCCTTTTAGCTAAAAACACAGAAAATACTGAGGTGTGGCTTGTCAAAATGATAGTCATTGCCCAACACACAGAGAAAGAAAACTTCTTTTTTTTTAAATGTATGCTTTGGTGTATTTAGATGAGTGTCTTCAGATTTACATTTGTTCACAATGCGGTTTATGAAGAAAATAAACATCTTCTGGTAAATGGCGGGTGGGTCAAGAGTCTTGCTCAAGGACACACTGACTGCAAAAGCCAGAGATCAAACTTGCAATCCTCCAGTTATGGGGCGGGCACCTAACCCCTCCGCCATATTTTTGGTTCTTTAACCTAGAGTTCACATTTTAATGAAACCGCACGCTCCAGTTTACTTTGATGGGTGGAAGAGTTGAGATCGTTGATGCTGATTAATACTTATGTTTGCAAAAATGACAAGATTCAATGATTCAAATTCAATGTCGATAAGGTGACCACCTTATCGTGGTGGAGGAGTTTGAGTGCCCTAATGATCCTAGGAGCTATGTTGTCTGGGGCACTTAGTGCCCCTGGTAGGGTCTCCCATGACAAATTGGTCTTAGGTGAAGGGTGAGACAAAGAACGGTTCGAAGGATCTTTCATGGCGGTTAAAACGAAGAGTCGGAGTACCCGGCCCGGAGGGTTACCGGGGTCCCACCCTGGAGCCAGGCCTGGGGTTGAGGCCCGTGAGCGAGCGCCTGGTGGCCGGGCTTTCGCCCATGGGGCCCGGCCGGGCCCAGCCCGAACCGGATACATGGGCTCGTCCAACTGTGGACCCACCACCCGCAGGAGGAACATGAAGGGTCCGGTGCAATGCGAATCGGGTGGCAGACCAAGGCGGGAGCCTTGGCGGTCCAATCCCCGGACAAGAAAACTAGTTTTTGGGACATGGAACGTCACCTCGCTGGCGGGGAAGGAGCCGGAGCTTGTGGCAGAGGTTGAGCGGTACCGGCTAGATATAGTCGGACTCACCTCGACACATTGCATTGGCTCTGGAACCCGAGACCTGGAGAGGGGTTGGACACTCTACTTTGCTGGAGTTGCTCCGGGTGAGAGGCGGAGGGCTGGGGTTGGCTTTTTGTTAGCCCCGAGACTCTCTGCCTGTGTGTTGGGGTTTACCCCGGGGGACAAGAGGGTAGCTTCCTTGCGCCTTCGGGTCGGGGAATGGGTCCTGACTGTTGTTTGTGCTTATGGGCCAAATATCAGTTCAGAGTACCCACCCTTTTTGGAGTCCCTGGGACGAGTGCTAGATAGTGCTCCATCAGGGGACTCCATTGTCCTGCTGGGGGACTTCAATGCTCACGTGGGCAATGACAGCTTGACCTGGAGGGGTGTGATTGGGAGGAACGGCCCACCTAATCTGAACTCGAGCGGTGTTTTGTTATTGGACTTCTGTGCAAGCCGCAGTTTGGCCATAACGAACACCATGTTCGAACATAAGGATGCCCACCGGTACACTTGGTACCAGGGCAGCCTAGGTCACAGGTCGATGATAGATTTTGTAGTCGTATCATCTGACCTGCGGCCGTATGTTTTGGACACCCGAGTGAAGAGAGGGGCGGAGCTGTCAACTGATCACCACCTGGTGGTGAGTTGGATCAGATGGCAAGGGAACATGCCGCGTAGACCTGGCAGACCCAAACGCATAGTGAGGGTCTGCTGGGAACGCCTGGCAGAAGAACCTGTCAAGACGGTCTTCAACTCCCACCTCCGGCAGAGCTTTGACCACGTCCCGAGAGCAGTGGGGGACATTGAGTCCGAGTGGGCCTTGTTCCACTCTGCGATTGTCGAGGCGGCTGTTGCTGGCTGTGGTCGTGGGGTGGCCGGTGCCAGTCGTGGTGGCGGCCCCCGTACCCGCTGGTGGACACCAGAGGTTCGGGGAGCCGTCAGGCTGAAGAGGGAGGCCTACGGGTCGTGGCTGGTCGGTGGGTCTCCGGAGGCAGCAGACAGGTACCGGATAGCCAAGCGGGGTGCAGCAGTGGCAGTTGCCGAGGCAAAATCTCGGGCGTGGGAGGAGTTTGGTGAGGCCATGGAGAAAGACTATCGATCGGCTCCAAAGAGGTTCTGGCAAACTGTCCGGCGCCTCAGGAGAGGAAGGCAGCAACTCGCTCACACTGTTTACAGTGGGGATGGGGAGCTGCTGACGTCAAATGAGGCTATAGTCGGACGGTGGAAGGAATACTTTGAGGAGCTCCTCAATCCCACCAATGCACATTCCGAGGAGGAACCAGAGCTGGGAGGCCTGGGGATGGACTGTCCGATCTCGGGGGCAGAAGTTGCTGAGGTAGTCAAACAACTACACAGCGGCGGAGCCCCGGGGGCGGATGAGGTTTGTCCTGGGTATCTCAAGGCTATGGATGTTGTAGGGTTGTCATGGTTGACACGTCTCTACAACATTGCGTGGTCATCGGGGGCAGTTCCTAGGGAGTGGCAGACCGGGGTGGTGGTCCCCATCTTTAAGAAGAGTGACCTGAGGGTGTGTTCCAACTATAGGGGGATCACACTCCTCAGCCTCCCTGGAAAGGTCTACTCCAAGGTACTGGAGAGGAGGGTCCGATCGATAGTTGAATCTCAGATAGAGGAGGAGCAATGTGGTTTTCGTCCTGGCCGTGGAACTGTGGACCAGCTCTATACCCTTGCAAGGGTGATGGAGGGGGCATGGGAGTTTGCCCAACCAATCCACATGTGCTTTGTGGATTTGGAGAAGGCTTATGACCGTGTCCCCAGGGGCACCCTGTGGGGGACGCTCCAGGAGTATGGGGTGGGTGGCTTTCTGTTAAGGGCCATTCAGTCCCTTTACCAGAGGAGCGTGAGTTTGGTCCGCATAGCCGGTAGTAAGTCGGACCTGTTCCCAGTGAGGGTTGGACTCCGCCAGGGCTGCCCTTTGTCACCGGTTCTGTTCATCACTTTTATGGACAGAATTTCTAGACGCAGCCGTGGTGTGGAGTGTGTCGAGTTTGGTGGCAGGAGAATCTCGTCTCTGCTTTTTGCGGATGATGTGGTCCTCCTAGCTTCATCCAGCTCTGACCTTCAGCTCTTGCTGGGTAGGTTCGCGGCCGAATGTGAAGCGGCTGGGATGAGGATCAGCACCTCCAAATCTGAGACCATGGTTCTCGACCGGAAAAGGGTGGCTTGCCACCTCCGGGTCGGGGGAGAGGTCCTACCTCAAGTGGAGGAGTTTAAGTATCTCGGGGTCTTGTTCACGAGTGAGGGTAGGAGGGATCGGGAGATCGACAGGCGTGATTGGTTCGGCGTCTGCAGTGATGCGGACGCTGAGCCGATCTGTCGTGGGGAAGAGGGAGCTGAGCCAAAAAGCCAGGCTCTCGATTTACCGGTCGATCTACGTCCCAATCCTCACCTATGGTCATGAGCTTTGGGTAATGACCGAAAGAACGAGATCGCGGATACAAGCGGCCGAAATGAGTTTCCTCCGTAGGGTGGCCGGGCTCAGCCTTAGAGATAGGGTGAGGAGCGCGGACATTCGGGAGGGACTCGGAGTAGAACCGCTGCTCCTCCGGATCGAAAGGAGCCAGTTGAGGTGGTTTGGGCATCTGGTCAGGATGCCTCCTGGACGCCTCCCCGGGGAGGTGTTTCGGGCATGTCCTGCCGGCAGAAGGCCCCCGGGTCGACCCAGGACACGTTGGAGAGGTTACATCTCCAATCTGGT